ATATTTAAGAAAGAAGAAAGAAGCATTTTTTTCTCTTTTTTTTGCCTCAGACATGTAATTTACAGCGTCAGTTGTGTGTTCGCTTTAGTATTACAGTTTTCATCATCGGCTTGTGAGGACTGATACAGATTTACAATAGTAATATTTCTTTCTTACTTGTAGCCTGCTTTCATTCATTTAAGATGGTTTACTTATACATAGATCTAATACAAAACGTCTAAATATAAAAAATAAAAAAATAAAAGAACCAACCTGAAAATGCAAATGTGTAATTAAATGATGATTCAATGGATTTTTTTCCCTCGGCTTGGTGGGTGAGGGGGGGGGGGACGGGGTGGACTTTGGGTTTTTAAGTAGAGCTGAAATAAATTTCTGATTACAGAGAATTAAAATGATACAAATTTTAAGCAATCGGAAAAGTTATGTTATTACAACGAGACACATCAAAGCAAACATTCTTCCCTTTCAAACATCTATATCTATACAGTCCTCAAACAGATTTTTTTTAATTCAATTGTTTTAAACATTTAAATCAGTAATAATAATTTGTTTGATAGTTTTACACAGCATCAAAGACATGATCATCAATTGCATACATAATAATCAAAGGGAGAAAATAAAATGGCATAAGAACTAGACTAAAATAAGGTGTGCAAACTAGGTTTCTCTTGACTGTTTAGTTAACGGTGCTCAGTCCTTGGCTGCGGAGTCAAAAGTTCACATTGTAACCACCCGTGGACAGAAATAGAAACGACCGTGGGAGAAGTGTCTCTGTAATCACATACTGATCTATCATTCCAAATCATCCCATGACATAAAATTGACCCTTGGCGATGAGGGCACGCTACCTTGAAATATCCGCCAGTCCGGTTGAGTGGGGGGAAGTGTGTGTGGGGGGGGGGATGAGGTGTGTATCTCTTTCTACCATTCAGGTTGTGCACTTTTAAAAACCTGGGAAACAAAAGACTGTTCTAATGTTAATTTACTTGAGGGCTGATCGAGTGATGTTTGGCTTGAGACTGTCTAAATTAAAATTAATACTTTATTTATTGCTTTCCTGTATATTTTTTTTCAGTTAAGTGAGAGTTCCCAGTATGTCTTAGCTTTGCTTGAAATATTTCTTTTAACTCGATGCCCGTGTATTTTGTGAAAAAATATCTGGATTTATTCCTAATTTGCCATACAGTCGATCTATAAATAGCCGTTGCTACTAGTCTGTTTTCGTCTTCTGTTCTTTGTCTAGTCGTGTTAATTAAGCTAAGTGTGATTGCTTTATTTGTTGTGATTGTTTGATTGTTTGCTTTGCTTTCTTTTTTTTTATAAACAGTTTTTTGTCCGCAACGAATAAACACTAAAATTGTAAAAAGTAAACTTTCAATTTTTTTAAAAAGTAAATATAATTAAGCTAATGTTTTATATGCCATATTATAGTCAAACCATAATTTTAAGATCTAAAAAATCTAAATGTTATTTAAACAAAAATTGTAGTATGCAATATTTATATAGAAAAAATAATCAATAATGATTTTTTTTTTAATTATATTAATTTTGAATTTGGTTTTATTTATAACGACTTCTGAAAACATAATTAATGTTAGCCTCCCTTTCAGTGTTTAAAAGTCTATACAAGTAAATAATCTAGTTTAATACTCCATGTAAAACTATTTGTTTTATCATAACTTTTTATATAGATTACAACTTCTGTCTATTCAACTGTCTTCTCGTACGTCCGTCCGCTATCAGTGTCCAAGACGCACACGCATGCAGAAAACTAATGTCACACATTAATCTAATTTTCGCGCAAGTGGTTTGGTAAAATAAGGTATTTCACGAGGTGAAAGAAGCATTCGTTTCACCCCTATATGATGCGATAAGTTTTAAAATCAAATTACTAAGCGAGCAGTAAGTTTGTTTTAACAGAATGTGAGTACTGTGACGTCATGAAGCTAGAGTCTGAACATCTAGGCCGCCTTTCATTACCGTAATCCTATAACATTCCCAATAAATGTCAATCAAACGGCTACAAATGTCACAGTGACCCAGGTCACACGATGTAAAAAAAAAAATAGACCACAGGTTAATGAGTACCTCAGGTGTGATTGTAAGTATCTTTTCTGACCAAAATCTTTATAAGATAATTTGTCTGTGTATCTTTTCTGACCAAAAATCTTTATAAGATAATTAGTCTGCGTATCTTGTCGGACCTAAATTTTCATAAGATTATTAGTCTGAGTCAGTGGCGTCGCTAGGTCGGATGTCACTTCGTGGTGTCACCCCGCCTCTCCCAAGTCACAAGGTATATATATATATATATATATATATATATATATATATATATATATATATATATATATATATATATATATATATATATATACATATGTATATATATACATATATATATATATATATATATATATATATATATATATATATATATATATATATATATATATATATATGTATATATATACATATATATATATATATATATATATATATATATATATATATATATATATATATATATATATATATATATATATATATATATATATATATATATATATATATATATATATATATATATATGTGTGTGTGTGTGTATGTGTGTTAGTGTGGGCCTACATGGGCCTATAATTTAAATGTATGCCACATACGCGTACATGTATGTGTATAAGCTTTAATGACTGCAAACTAAATAGCAACGATGTTTATCTTTAATCTGTTAATATAATAATAATACAGTTGGATGTAACATTGTTTTCTGTAAAGCTAGCGCGTTTACGTCATGTTGTCGCCCCTATTCCCTTGTAACAATTGTACTTAAAATACTAAGTTTAATAAATCATTAATGGAACTGGCAAAACAGCATTACAATTTTATTGCCTTGGTGCCACCCCCCCCCCTCCAAATGGTGTCACCCGGTGCGGTCCGAACCCCCCGGCCCAGAGGCGTAGCGAGGGGGGGGGGGGGCGGGGGGGGACATATGTCCCCGGGCGCCGACCTTAGGGGGGGCGCCAAATTGAAAGTTTGAGGGGGGGGTGCAAATGAAAAGTTCGAGGGGGGGTGCAAATCGAAAATTTGCTCCCGAGGGGGGCGCCAAATTGAAAGTATGTCCCCGGGCGCCGGGAAGGGTCGCTACGCCTCTGCCCCGGCCCCGCCCTTGCTACGCCTTTGGTCAGAGTATCTAATTTGAGCTAAATTGTCATTGCATAACGTGTCTATCTTGTTTGAACTAAATTATACTAAGATACAGTGTCTTAGTATCTTGTCCGATCTATAATTAGTATTATGCCTTGAAATATTTAGTCTAAAATATTTAATCTCTACAATTGTATATGGAATGTTAATCCAACCTATTTAGTCTGGTATTTTATCTTGTTTTGTATGAGATAGTTTATCTTAAATATTTTAGTTCTAAGATGACCTGTTCAGTTCCAGCAATTGGTATGGTTAATCTTACAGGAAGTTGAAGTTTAAGGGGGAGGGGGGGGGGGGTAGCAGGGGAGGACAACCAATGTCCACGTCTTTATTTGTCCTTGACCTATCTGACAGAACCCCCCATCACCGGAATGGAAAAGTACCAGGATTGTTATCGGAGTTGAAAAAATACCTCATGCCATCTACAAAAAGGACGCGGAACTTTTAAGCGAAACGAGGCTACAGAACTGGGTCTTGCTTTGTTTCAGCTTCCTTTGTTGTCATTGCTGTCATTGCTGTCATTGCTGTCAAACGCTGACTCCCATGCCTATGTCGTTGGTGTTTGTTCTTGTACAGCTAAGTGTCGTGGTTGCGTCATCATAATAAAAATGTGCTTATGTTTCAAGGGTAAAATAAATGGCATGTGGAAAAGTTATATTCTTTAATTTGACAAAAGGGTTTACGCGTAAAATGTCAGCTCGTTAACAGAGGTGTCACTGGGAGATTGTTTTATCGTCAAAGATCATTTTAGATCAAACAGTCTGTATCTTTAAAACATCTTTAGATCATAAAGTCTGTATCTTTAAAACATTATATATATATATATATATATATATATATATATATATATATATATATATATATATATATATATATATATATATATATATATATACCAGTATGAAATTGTGGTTTTCCGCATAGAATAATTCACTTTAAACAGTTATATTCCCAGTGACCGTTGGAAAGCAATTTTGTTGCAATTTTGTTTCGATAATAGATTATGTAACAATTATTATATAGTAAACAATTATTAACAGTGACAAAAAACACAGATTATAAACTTTCATTAAAACCAAGTATTTATAAATGCACTAAAATTTTCTCTTATTTTCTATAAATATATATATATATATATATATATATATATATATATATATATATATATATATATATATATATATATATATATATATATATATATATATATATATATATACATATATATATATACATATTATAAATATATACATATACATATATATATATATATATATATATATATATATATATATATATATATATATATATATATATATATATATATATATATATATATATATATATAATGCACCAGTTGATAAATGTTTAACAACTCAGCTACCCGCTCTTCAGTTGAATAAGAGATATAAAGCTAAGAGTAGCCGCTCTTGAAGCTGGTTAGGTATGGCTGGGGCGGTACGTAGTTTGACCTGCGACCTTTTATTTAGGCCATGGTTGATTTGTGTCTGGTTTTCAGATGTTGACTTGACCAAACAAATCTTTGTCTTCCCAAGTATTTGCACCGCCCAGCGAATTTCACCTTCGTTGTCATTGTAGGTAGACAGGTAAAAAAAAAACCTTACCTGTAAACCGTGTTAGTATGTAATCAATATTTCTAAAAATAACTGAATATATTTTTTTGTTTCTAGAAAATAAATGTACGTATTTTTAATTTTTAATTTTTTTTAGTCAAGATATTTTTTTCTTTAAAACTCAGACCGCAGATAATTAAAATCGGTCAAAACTTATATGAGTGATCTCCCTTAGTTTTTCTTACACAATAGCTTCCCTTGACAGCTGTAACATATTAAACTTTTTTACCCGCAAAGACATTAAAATTGTTTCACCTTAATTGTTTTTTTTCCCCTGCAAATGGAGCAAACAGCGCAGTAAGTTTACGTCATCAGAAAACAGGTCTGAACTTAACCTGACTGTGCGACAAATGAATCAAGTGCAGCGTTAACGCCCTTGGTTCTGGGAGGTTCTCTTTGTCTTGTAGTGCGCATGTTTTTCAGACCACTGCTCTACCTCGGAGTTCCAGTGGGGAAGGAATTATTTATTTCTGTGTAAAAAATATATTAAATTATTTTTAACATTTTCAGAAGTTTAAAACGCTAACATGGTGTTTATTCTACAAGAATTCAAAGAGGATTTTAACACCTGTATAATGTTTTAAAATCAATGTTGTACTTACAGTTTTACACATTTTTTCGTTAAAAAAAATAGCTTTCTAAATTAGTTACGGTATTATTTTCAATGGATTAAGCAGATATCAGGAAAAGAATGTAACTAGTTAAAATTATAAATTAAGAACTTGTGATCTATGGAATATTTCCGTATTTGGCAATTAACATATTTTTTAATTACAATTATTAGCAGGCTTTTTAATATATTTTCTTTTTACAATATTAGTACTTAATTATAATTTTTTTTTATATTTTGTAGTTTATCAATAATCACTTCAATTTACCTACAAAAATAAATATATTGAATCTTTATTGATCCGCTAAATTAACTTTAAAGTTGTTGTTTTTTTTCGTTTGGTCTTATGTGAGTTTACAAGAGATCGAAATAGGTGGATAAAATGTTGAACATTCAAAATTCTTTTTTTTTAAATTAGTGTATTAGTTTTTTTTTAATCGAAAATGTAGGCCTACTTCTCTATCCACCCCCCCCCCCCCCTCTATAGGATAACAAAGCTGATTGGATGCGACCAAAAAATTGTGGGATTAACCTGGTACGAACACGATGGCATGTTTTACCTCACTGGCCAGATTTTTCTGCATCCTGCTGGTGCACGTGACTGCGGGGCAACACCACAATGGTAAATTTAATCATCTTAATTCGTGGAAACAAACTTAAATTATAACAGTAGTGCCTCAATAAACTCGTTTTCTTCCCTTTATTCGTAGGTCGGGTTGTCAAGGGCAGAGAAATGCACTCAATGCGTTTCCCTATAGTTTATAACATTAGCGCCTAGATACCCTCGTTTTCAACTTATCTAGCCTGTAATTCTAAATCAAAAGACAGAACATCAACATGATTTCCTCGATATTCTTTACTATTCAATACACATTCCTTGTTCAACTTGTAGAAGACAGAGAAATGCACTAATATGCTCCCTATAGTTTATAACATTAATGCCTCAATAACCTCGTTTTTTAACTAATCTAGCCTGTAACTCAAAAGATAGAACTTCAACATTAAACATCCTTTCCTTGATATTCCCCACTATTCTTTACTCAATGTACCCACACCCCATTCTACCCCTATCTAACCTATCCTCCGCTTTTTTAAAGTGACTTATTTTTAGTTTTGTTATATTATTGTTAAATACTATTAATAATCGCATAAAAAATTAAAGACATCTAACATTAAGATATAAGTCAATTTTTAACATAATATACAAAGTATTATAAATTTTGATAAAAGTATTTAAACAATATATGTGTTCATTATTTCAAAAAAGTATTAATTATCCCCCTTTATTTCAAAATCAGATTATTTCCCTTAGTGCTTGGGTTTAAATCTACCACACCGTAATGATTTTATTGTGTGGGGTTTTTTTTTCAGACTGTCCAGCGGCCTGGTTCCAGTACTCAGGTCACTGTTACAACTTCGTGGTCAGTCCGACCTTGACCTTTCAGGAGGCGACCATCTACTGCCAGAGGCACCTCTCGGCGCTGGTCAGCATCAACTCCCCGGGGGAGCACGAGTTCGTCCAGTCCTGGCTCAAGTCACATGACATCCGGAGGTATCGTCTATTTATAGCTACTCTATTTTTAGGTACAATTTTAAAACAGCAACGGGTCACATTGGAGTTATTTTTTTTTTAGTTTTGGTCACCCTATATCTGACCCTAGCCCAAACCAACACTTAACCACAAACTAAACACTATATCATTCTCTGATTTTATTTCCGACACCGCATTTAGACTTGCGAAATGTATTCTATACATGTCTAGAGAAAAGAAACCTCGCAATAAGTGAGTAGGCTCCCCTTTTCCTTGACGTGTATAGTATACATGTCGCAAGTGTAAACGCAGTGTAACCCCGAATCAGAATTCTCACCCACGTCTGAAGTCTGGTTGCCAAAATAACTCAGTGTTTCTTTGGGAGTTTTGCTAATAACACTTTATCAAAACTAAAGTCCTTGGTATATTCCATACAACTGTAATGCCGCATTTAAAAACTGTTTTATTTGACTGGTTTTATTTGTAGTAAACTATAAACTGATAGATCTATTACCTTCCCCAGTTTGAATGTATAAAAACGGTGGCGAAGCTTTTGTTTAGGGGTGGATAGAAATAAATAAATATACGTCTGTCTACCTGCGTGTGAGAGAGAGAGAGAGAGAGAGAGAGAGATGGCTGGTGCAATATTTTATGTTATTTAAAACAAGCGTATGTTTATCCTATTGTGTATGTATGTATGTATATATATATATATATATATATATATATATATATATACTAGCTGCATCCCGTGCTCCGCCACGGTAAATCTTTTTTAAATGTACCAACTTGGGAACAGAACAAAACTAAACACAACACAAACGAACGCAAAAAAAAACAACGAAAAAACAAACACAACACTCATAACATAAACACAATTTAAATGCAATCATACAGGCATTTTGCTCACAGTCTAGCCCGTAGCGCCAAAATCGCGCCCTTTCCGGTGATTTGCACCCCCCTCAAACTTTCGATTTGCACCCCTCCCCCCCCCCCCGCCCTAAAACTTTCGATTTCCACCCCCCCCTCGCAAATTTTTTCCAACCCACTTTGGCGCCCCCTAAGGTCGGCACCCGGGGACATATGCCCCCCCCTCGCTACGCCTCACCAATAAAACCCGAAAGATAGAATAATAATTAGAAAACAGTATAAATAATAGGCAGTATTTAAAATATCCGTGTTTTACCTACAATATTTCACTTTATCCATTCACGCATTTTTTTCCAGTACTTTAAATTTAAAAAAATTACAATAGAGTTTCATAACTAAAACCATTGCGCACCTAATGAACGTGATGACGCGTCTATAATAGAGCTGAATAGTTGATTAAAAATTATAAGTAATAAACAGTAGGGCCTACATTCAGTGAATAAAATAAATAAAAGATTGCCTTTTATCAATCCATGCTAATTATAATTTTCTAACAATAATTTCCTCTTATACATCCGAATAATTTGCATTCACAATTTGCTAATTATATTATTGCAACACTAATTCCTTCTATGACGAACGTATATTTGCATTTACATTTTTTATTAGCGTGAGTTTAATGTATTTTTAAATTACCTCCTTTGTCAAAATTAGAAAAGAGTTAAATTAATTTGATTTTTCTACCGTACTGTTATTATCTTATTAAAATGTATCCACTTTTTCTGGGAACCTAAACGAAAATGATATTTGACATTAATCTTTTTAATACGTTTTAGCAGTTTGCGTGTATTTAATATTTTCTTGACGTTATGCGAAAGAGTAAAAACCGTGGCAATTATAAAATAGCTCTATGCCGCTATATAAACAAACCCTACTCTAATACTTATAATAAGACACTGCGGTGCACTGAAAAGCACAGCATGGTGCGAATGTTTACTTTTATGGTTCCAAAATCTATAGCGATGACGGAAGGAAGGACTGACACACTACCAGCAGCGTTATATTATAGATATATATATATATATATATATATATATATATATATATATATATATATATATATATATATATATATATATATATATATATATATATATATACACATATATGTATATATATATGTATATATATATATGTGTATATATATATATATATATATATATATATATATATATATATATATATATATATATATATAACCTTTGCTGCATGTCTTTTATCTATGCCTGTTTTACCCAGCGTGTGTATTTTCTTGTGTTTGTGTTTATTTTGACTTTTTACCTGCAGCTTTTTGCAAGTGTCTGAATGCTTTTACCTGTGTCTGTCTATACTTACCTATGCTGCGTCTCACCTTTGTGAACTGTGTCGCTGTTTACCCCCGTCTAAGCAAACTGGTGTCTGAAAAATTTGATTAACCACAGGACTATGTGTGGTGGGGGGGGGGGTGGACTGATATGCAGTAAGCAGCGTCTCAGATTATTTTTTTTTAAACTTCTAATTCACGTGTTAAAACGCTTCAAAGGACAAGAAATAAATTCCAGGAAAAGGGCTTAAGGTTACTTAATTACTTAAGAAGACCAGAGGCGTAGCGACCCTTCCCGGCGCCCGTGGACAAACTTTTCGATTTTCACCACCCCGCTCAAGTTTTCGATTTGCACCCCCCCCCCCCCTCAAACTTTTGATTTGCACCCCCTCCTCAAGATTTCGATTTGCACCCACCCCCCCCCCCCCCTCAAACTTTCGATTTGCACCCCCCCCCCCCTCAAGATTTCGATTTGCACCACCACCCCCCCTCAAACTTTCTATTTACACCCCCCTCGACCTTTCAATTTATTTTTCCAACCCATTTTGGCGCCCCCTGAGGTCGGCGCCCGGTGACGTATGCTCCACCCCCCCCCCCCCCCACGACGCTACTGAACAAGACCAGTGTGTTCTCTGATAATTAGTGTTGACGTGGCTGTGGGTGTTGAACGAAAAGTTATGTTTAAAAATACTGACGTCACTACCCTTAGAAGTCTCGGCGAGTCTTATTAAATCTTTTGAGAACAAAAGCCAAAAAAAAAAAGCTAAAGAAACTACTTGGGCTGATACACCTTCTAAAAAACAAGGATGGTTGTGCGAATTATCTCCTTTAGGGGTCATCTTTAAATGACGTCACGCTTTTTTTGACGATTGCAACCTCCCCCCCCCCCCTCCCCTTCGTCACACGTCGTCACAAAAAGCCAACCCCCCACCCTAAAATGACGTCACACCTAAGCCTATAACCCCCCCCCCCCTCAAAATTGCTGTTTAATTTTTATTAAAACATCGATATTTTTCCTAAGTCTTGTCTGAACTCTGTCAAAATAGAGTATTTTGATCAATTCATTTTACAATTTATTAAAACCGTTTTCTAAAACGCTAAATAACGGCTAAAAACTCAGTTTTCTAACATTATTTTTTATAATGCAAAAAACTGACGTCACACCATCTGAACCCCCCCCCCCCCCGCCTCCCCCTCATCACACACCTTCACAAAATTACAGACCCCCCCTCCCCCCTACGAGTGTGACGTCATTTATGGACGACCCCTTATTTTATAAAATATTTTATATATGAAATTAAGCAACATGAAGATATTAAGTTATCGTGTTCACAAACACACAGAATAAATAATTTTAAAACCATGTCTATCTGACTCGTGGGCAGAGGCTAAGCGAGGGGGGGGGGGGGGGGGTGGGGATCGCACCGGGTGACACCATTTAGGGGGGTGACACCAAGGCAAAAAATAGCAAAATATATAGAGAAAAATTTGAGAGGGGGTGCAAATCGAAAGTTTGAGGGGGGGGGGGTGGAAATCGAAAATTAAAAGTTTGTCCCCGGGAAGGGTCGCTACGCCTCTGGGGGGTGACACTATTAAGTGCCACACCGGGTGACACCCGACCTCACTACGCCACTGCTCGTGGGTGCTTAGTTCCTCGAGATTTGGATAAATCGCGATTAAGTTCTCTAGAACGATTACAAGTTTTCGATACTCCGTATACGATAAAGTAGGGAGGCGTAAAACGGCGATAGCTGTCAACATTTTTATTTGATTTTGTGCATGATTACAATACAATCTTTATAAAGTAGAGACAAAATTAACAAGGGAGACAACCTGTCGATATTATCCCGAATAAGACGTATAAATTACAACAAATTCATTAAAATTTAAGAGATCAAAATTCTTCAGTTATTTATTTGTTCTAATATAACATCAATTATTTCTGTTGTCTAACGTTTATTTTTGCAAAACATTGATAAATATACAAGTTTAAATGCTAAAAAGAAAACCTTAAGCCGTATCAAGAAGTTTTTGTGTGAAATTATATAGGTTCTCATTAACATCGTGCTGTACTATAGTAACACTGAAAAAAAAATAATTTACTACTTTAATATTTTTGTTTGGTATCCACGTCATACACACAGAAATTAACTTTATAGAGTAGATATACGAGCCGTGGTTATTGCTAGTTGAAAACTATTCTACGCTCCCTACGATGTCACAGCCTAGCTCAACGACATATGCAAATATAGTCAACGTTCACAGAGGGGTTGCGCCCTCAGATGTTCCACCTGGGCCGAGAGGCTTGGGGAGGAGCCTCCCGGACTACGGTCCGGGGGGTTTAATGAAATCCAGGGCCCAACCCCTTTCAGCCACCACCGCCATACTCGATCTACCTGATGAGGACTGTCCAGAACTCTTCCCGGCTGACTCACCCACCATTCAAGTCACAATCAACTCAGGAGGTCAACCCAATCTAAGAGGTCACATCCTTCGACAACTAATAAGCAACCAACAGATCTTCCTCCTCAATTATGGTCGTGCAGACACGTGGTTCTTCACATCAAATGCCTTCGACGTCACCACCCTACACAACACACACAAAACACACGGTCCCTACACACTATTCTTCACTTTACACGAAAAGAACAGAGTCAACGGAACCCTTAGATGGGTCCCACCTACACTAAGCGATCGCACACTCATTAAAGCACTACAACCCTACAGTAACAAAGAACCTTCCATATACACAATCCCTCTCACCACCAACCGTAGCTTCTCCATACACACTGACAATCCAGCAAACATCCCCCACTACATCCAATTAAACTACAGAAACAAGTCACACAACATCCTAATAGCCATCAACGACAGAAAACAAGCCTGCCAAACCTGCTCGTCAACTTCACACTGGACCAACCGCTGTCAAACTCTCAACCTAGAATCAACGCCCAATGATCAAATACCAGCACAATCTACAGCTCCATCCGCTCTACAAGGCCCCATGCCAAGTAATCAGCAACACTCCTCAACCGAAGACGCAGCACCGAACCCGAAAACACCGCCCAAAAAACAGCCCCCAGCACAACAACCAGCGCCACCCGACCAACCAGCAACAACACCAAGCAGCCAGCAAATAACTCCAATCGCCAAGCCACCTCCAACAACAAGCAGCCAGCTAGAAGCAACACCCGCCCAGACAACACCATCACCAAGCAAACAACAAGCAACGATCAAAAAACCGATCAACCCATCCAGGCCGGCAAGTACACCATCAACACCAAGCAAACAAGCAACTGCAGCAAGGTCGAAGTCAGACAAACCAGCTACGTCAAGAGCTCTAACATTGAACGCTCCGTTCTTTTTCTCAGACATGGACACCACTCTTGCAAGCTTCAAAAGGAAGAAGGAAGATAGCCCCACAGAGGAGAAAAAAATAATAAAAAGTAAAAAATTTACTCATGACAACAAACGCTGTAGGTTCTGCCCAGAACAAAATAGAACAGCTGAGGAAACGGAAAAGCACGAACATAGAATGCACTATAGATTCTTACGGTGTGATCTTTGTGTAGACAAAGGGTACCACACAGACATATACGCGCACTTTGCAGAAAATCATCAAGAAGTAACACTGTATGACTGCCGAGATTGTACCGTATCCCTCCCATTAGAGGGCATGAAGGAGCATACAAAGGTACACCATGTGAGGACTCGCTCCTCGAAGTCACTCGTCGGTTTTTGAAAGAGAAACCAGGGTAAATAGGTATTTTAGACGTTTTTGTAAATGTTTATGTATAAATAAAGTATCGGAAAAAAAAAAAAAAAAAAAAAAAAAAAAAAAAAAAAAAAAAAAATTTTCAAAGTTCAATTATTTTGGTCTGACTTTGAAAAATTAAAAAAAAAAAAAAAAAAAAAAAAAAAAAAAAAAAAAAAAAAAAAAAAAAAAAAAAAATTTTTGTTTGGTAGAAAAAAAAAATATTTTTGTTAGTAAGAGTAATTATTGCCTAAATGTTCGGGCCATGTTATTATTTCTTGAAGGGGGTGCCGCCAAATGTCACACCCGAATCATAATATAAACCTCTTCCCCCCCCCCTCTACTCCTAGTTGGATTTCTCTTTTTCTTGCTTTTTTTCTCAATATAGCTAACCAAGTCTGTTAAAAAAGTCTAAATACAAATTGTTTACATACTAATATCAGCGACCTGGAATTGGATTTTTTTTTAAATTCTTTAAGTCACTTTTTTCCCTTCAGATTGGAGTGGTTTACTAGTGGTAAACGAGAAGGTGCGGGTTCGATTCTTTGGGATTCCGACGGCACGCAGGTGGTGACCCGTTATTTCGAGGATGATGCTATGGACCAGGGTGGTTTTGATCCCATGGCGGGTCTAGAGAATAACATCATTGTCTACAAGTACGTTGGTAAGTTGAAAATTAAATTAAATTAATTATAATCAAAAATAATGTTTGTTTTCCATAGTCCGCAAAGGCAAAATGTTTTCTTTTAGAAATAAGTTATCTGGAATACATGATTGGTAACGTCCTCTTAAAATATTACGTCAGCCTTTTTTCTGAGACCGCAGCAACGTGCGGGATGGGTACGGTTGTTATTCTAATATATAAAGCTCAATTCTGTAACGCATATGTTTGTCGTTGGCATTTCTACGGATTTAAGTGTTAGATCAATTATCGTGCGCGTTTGTCTAAATTTATGAGTTAAAAAATTACTATTAAAAGTGTTGGGAAATCATTTTCATTTTTCAAATTATAGTAATAATTGTCGGCATGTTCATTAAACACAAGTTTTAAAAAAATATCATCTTTTACAAAAATTCTAATTATGTTTTTATTTAGTCCTATAGCGCTTACTTCCCTTTGATAAATTAGGCAAAACACAATTACTTCCCTTTATGAAATCATTGCATTAGTTGAAAAGCATTTACTTTTTAATTACTTTGTTTTGGTGTTGGGAAAAAAATAATTACATAATTAGCGGGGATTGATCAAGTGCAAATGTTTTAGGTATTTTACGGATAAGCTTGGAGTATTATAATTGTTCATTAAATTGAAACAGGCGCGTTCGTTTAAGTGAGTGCAAAAACTATGAATAAGTTGGGGTACTATAGTCGTTTATTAAGCTAAAACAGGCGATTCTGCCCCGGGCGTTTATGTTCGCGTTAGTGTTTTCTTTGTGTTTAGGTGGGTTTGCGTTAGTGGTTGCGTTTTGATTTGGTTCGTTTTTGTTCTTTCTTTTTTCGTTTTTGTTTGTGTTTTTTTTTTGTTTGGGTTTGTATTTGTGTTTTTGGTTGGTTTTGCGTTTGGATTTGGTTTGTTTTCGTTTGCTTTTTCGTTTTTTTTTTTTGGTATTGGTGTTTGTGGTTGGGTTTGTTGTTAGGTTTTTGTTTTCGTTTGTTTTTTCTTTGTGTTTGTATTGGTGTTTGTGGTTGTGGTTGGGTTTGTTGTTAGGTTTTTGTTTTCGTTTGTATTTCTAATTGTGTTAGCGTTATGTTTGCGTTTTGTTGTTTTGGTTGGTTGTGGTTTGGGTGGGCAATGCCGGGTTTATGATGATTACTAAACACACAGGTAATGGTCTTTAACGGAAAGGTTTTTCACAGAAGCCAGAGCAGGGCCTGGCCGGGACGGCTAGTAATATAAATAAACGTAAATATAAAATGTACCATCATCATTACTAGTTTATGCCCAAGAAACATAGGGCGTATAAAGTAGTTTCAACAATCACGGTATACAGGGGAGGGGCGGGGGGTAGTACTTTGCCCAGCCCCTTTGGTTTTCGTAACGAGAGTCAAGTACCCATCGGCTGGGTGTACTCAGATACGTCCTAGATCCTCGAACGTGGGATACGAAATCGAGGCCTTAGGGTTACCAGTCATGAGCTCTACCATCCGACCACGCAGTCCCTGATATAGAATTACTGTGTACTAACTTGTTGTAATTTCATTGTTATAAATGTTATGATCTTATGAAAGTGACAGTAAAAAAAATGTTAACAGTGCGAGGGTTTTAATTTATTTTATTTTTTACATGAGCCGTGTTTTAAAATAATTTCCATAACTGTATAATAATATATATATGATATATATATGATATATATATATATATATATATATATATGTGTGTGTGTGTGTGTGTGTGTGTGTGTGTGTGCGCGCGTGTGTGTGTGTGCGCGCGTGTGTGTGTGTGTGCTTGCGTGCGTGCATGCGTGCGTGCATGTGTGCGTGAATGTTTGTGTGCGCGCGTGTGTGTGTGTGATATGCGTGGGATACATGTTGTCCTGTTTTTGTTCAGACCATAGTAAGTAAAATAAAGACAGTAGCTACGCGATAGACAAAAGCGGACTGTATTTAAAGTACATTTTAAAACGAACATCGTAAAACGTCCGGCGGCCATCTTGTTTCCATTAGCACACACCGGAAGTTACATGTGGGCGTGGAGTCGACTGATGAGACCCGGGCCTTTCATCTGTGAGATGACCGGAAGTGAGACCTGGAGACTGGACCAGCAGGGGCGAGACTTCTGTGAGTACGGGTATCACGTGATGGTTGACCTAGGTTTTCTGGTACCCGTTGGGGCTTTTAATAGTTGGGGTTAAGAATAAAATGTTATGATTCACTGTCCTTATAGATCTAGTAAGGATAGAATATTTGACAATTAGCGGGGGTTAAAATATACTGGACATGAAATTTTTTTTGAGATAAGATGTATAATTTCAGCATAAAATAGTATCTTACAATCACTGTTTGAACGTTGTTTGATTCTCTCTATCCTACGATAAAAACAATACAAATTGTTACTACGATTTCCCCGTATTTCCTTAAAGTTAAGGTATAAAAAACACATGTTGTAACCATTTTTTTTACCGCTTCTTTAGGTACTAACATCACAAATGTTTATTATTGTTATGTCCCCATCTCCCCTACCTCTTATATCATGCGGGATACAATCATCACTTAAACCACAGGCCTTTGGGAGCATTGACCAATCATCACAAATATTGTATCCCTTATTTTTTACCGCCCTCACCCCCCCCCCCCCCCCACACACACCTACTCAACCATCCTATTTTGAGCAACTCTAAAACACCACATCCCTCCCCCCTCACCCCAATAACATCTCAGAACTCAGCATGGACTAAACATCGCCATGTATAATTCTCTTCATGGCTAGACGACGCAAGCCGACTATCTAAACCTCCTCCCGCCCCCTCCCTCGCTCTCAAAACATGCGAAACAGACCATTTCGCTACCACCCCTCACCCACGAGTCTGGTGTAAGGGGGGGGGGGAGATAATGTCAAATTCACAGATTATAAATTACTGAAAAGTAACAAAATAAAACAACTAAATATGCTACGCCGCGGGTCGGATCGTTATACACATTTAATCAACGTTTATTTCTTCCACCCCCCCCCCCTAGCTTACGGTACAAACATCACCAACCCCAGCCTGTGGGAGCACGGTCCAAACATCACCTCCGTCTCCAGGGATACCCTGTTCTACGACACTCAGGACCAGACGACTGGCGTCACCTTGGAGTGCGTTGCCACGGGCAACCCCCGCCCCACATACACCTGGTTAAAACAGCGGCCCAGTCAGTACGTTTGTTTTCTTTTTGTCTTTAATGGTGTCACCCCCCAGAGGCGTAGTGACCCTTCCCGTGGACAAACTTTCAATTTTCGATGTGCACCCCCCCCCCCCCCTCAAACTTTCGATTTGCACACACCCCCTCAAGTCTTTCTCTATATATTTTGCTATTTTTTGCCTTGGTATCACCCCCCTAAATGGTGTCATCCGGTGCGATCCGCACCCCCCCCCCCGCCCCCACCCCCTCTCTACGCCTCTGCTTGGCAACGCTGTGTTCAACACCAACTTGATAATGAAATCTCCTTTAAAAAGCATCTTTAAACTCATGCATAGTTCTATTAAATTTACTATTATATTTACATTTCTTTAATGAAATTTGCAATATAAAAGATGTGTAAAACACCTGTATAAACTCTTTAAAATATGCCTTGCTGTTAAAATTTAGGCTAGTTAACATTTTGAAATTATAGTTCGATGCTGAGATTAAATTACTTTATATTTTAAAATTATATCTCAACGTCAAAATTTAATTAAGTTACACAATAATTAAATAAATAATACATTTTGACCTACTTCCTGTTCTCTAAGACAGAGCTATGACGTCATCTCTGCGTCAGACTCGCGCTATACTTTGACGAGCGGCAGACTGAGCATTAGCAGGGTACGTACATGTAGGTTAGGGTTAGGGTTAGGGTTAGGGTTAGGGTTAGGGTTAGGGTTAGGGTTAGGGTTAGGGTTAGGGTTAGGGTTAGGGTTAGGGTTAGGGTCAGGTTTAGTGTTAGGGTTAGGGTTAGGGTTAGGGTTAGGGTTAGGGTTAGGGTTAGGGTTAGGGTTAGGGTTAGGGTTAGGGTTAGGGTTAGGGTTAGGGTTAGTCTTAGGGTTAGGGTTAGGGTTAGGGTTATTTTTAGGGTTAGGGTTAGGGTTATTTTTAGGGTTAGGGTTATTTTTAGGGTTAGGGTTAGGGTTATTTATAGGGTTAGGGTTCGGGATAGGGTTAGGGTTATGGTTAGCGGTAGGGTTAGGGTTAGGGTTAGCGGTAGGGTTAGGGTTAGGGTTAGAGTTAATGGTAGGGTTAGGGCTAGGGTTGGGGTTAGGGTTAGGTTTAATGGTAGGGTAAGGGTTTGGGCTAGGGTTTGATTCCATGTTAAGGTAAGAGGTAGGGTTGTTATTAGGGTCATTGTTAGGGTTAGGAATGAAGTTTATGTTACGGAAGGGAATAGGGTTTTAATTTGGGTTATTGTTAGAGGATTAGGGTTACAGTTAGAGGTTAGACGTATTGTGGATATCAATGACACAAAAGCTGTAGTAAATCAAGAGAAAAAAATGTAACTGTAGTATTATGACAATGTAACTGGGTAAGAACATACTGAAGTAATAATTAACTTGGAAAATGTATGCTTTTTTTTTTTTGTTTTAGAACAAATTGTATCTACTTTGTAGAAGTAAAAAAAAAAAATATTTGTTATGCATCAATTTGTTATAAAACAAATAAGAAATTGAGAACAAAATTTAAATTTAATTTCTTGCGTCATTTTTCTGATATTTGATCCTTGCGATTCATACATTTTGTAATTAAAAATTGGAAGCTGTTTTTTTTTATTGTTTTTCTATTAAATTTTAGATTTCAGACTTTAGTTAGAAACTCAACGTTTCTTTTTATGTTGTTTTTTTTTTGTAAACGTTTTAATTTTGTAGCGATAACATTACTGACGATTATTTTATTATGTTTTTCTATTAAATTTTAGATTTCAAATTTTAATTAAATTTTTTTTTTGTTTATTGTTGTTTTTTTTTTTTTTTTCTTTTTTTTTTTTTTTTTGTAAGCGTGTTAATTGTGTATCGATAACGTTTCTGAAGATAGCAGTTTAAAAATGTGTTCACCGCCATGATGTTTTTTTTCTTCCACCCCAGCCCAGCTCCACCCTAGACGCCACCTGGTACACCTGTGTGGCCAGCAACAAGTTTGGCACCGTCATGTCCAGCCCTATCGAGGTGTCGCATGGATGTGAGTAGTCGTTAGTTTCATCCGTTGTCCTGTAACTAACTCGTCTTGCTGGGGACCTAATCAGTTAACAAATCTGCTAGAATCAGTGTTTATTCTAGACATTTTTCTCCGGATGCGGGGGGGGGGGGGGGAACTTGATAATTTCGGGGGGAGGGGGGGGGGGGGCGAACTAAATTTTCCGTGGGGGGGAGGGGCGGACATTTTTAAATTTATATATTTTCTATATAAATTCCATTTCGTACCGAGGACTCTCTTGAAGGGGGGGGGGGGGGGGGGGGCGAACAGATGCCTGGAAGAAACTAGGCTAGGCTGTGAGTAATCATAAGTTTCATCCGTTGACCTGTAACTAACTCGTCAGTTATCAAGTCTGTTATCAAGCCGCATCAGTTATCAAGTCTGCCGGGACACTCAGATGTGAGCAGTTATTAGTTTGACCTTTTGTCTTATTGTTGACCCATCTAGTTGAGAAGAGAGTCAGTTCTAAGTCTTACGACTAGCTATTAGTGTAATACTTTGATAAATAACCTACCAAGTCGAGGACAAATTCAGTTATCAAATTGGCTACGTCGTACGTATATGAGTAGTTATGTGTGTTACTCAAACTAGTGGCACATGACGTTATCACCCCGTCAGCGCTTCATAATAAACAGAAAGAGTCGAGGTTAGACACGAGATATTGTGTACCTTATATATAACCAGAAAGGTAAAAATACCTTAGTGTAATAATTAAGAGTATTTTCATAGAGATTTGACTATTTAAAGATGTTACAACTATTTGATCATTGTGTACTTTCTATTGTTGTTTCATCACCAATGTTGACCTAACAATCAGGTGAGTTCATGTACTTTTCCTAACTTCTTCAGATCTGGGTCAGTTCACCAACGTCAAGCCCAGCCCAGTGTACGCCACTATGTACATGGGGAAGGAGATCACGTGTCAACCCCCGCTACACAACACGGGTAAGTTCAGAGGCGTAGCGAGGGCGGGGCGGGGGTGCGGACCGCAACGGGTGACACCATTTAGGGGATGACACCAAGGCAAATAAAAAATTCCAAAATGTACAGAAGAAATATGGTTTTTTTGCCATTTTCATTATGATTAGTTAAATAGTGTTTTAAGTACAAATCGACAATTATTACAAGAATTGTGGGGGTGACACCATGACGTAAAAACACTAATTATAGAGAAAACAATGCTACATCCAACTATATCATTAACAGACTATAGATAAACATCATTAATCTTAAGTCCGCAGTGATTAACTTTTATACACATACATGTACGCGTACGTGTCATATATTTAAACTATAGGCTTATGGCCGCTATATATATATATATATATATATATATATATATATATATATATATATATATATATATATATATATATATATATACTTTGTTTCTCCGGGTGGAGGGGGGTCACACCCGACATAGCGACGCCACTGGGTAAGTTGTTAGTGCAGTCACTTCAACTACTTCTCTATAGATTTAAACTCTTGCCATATTGAATTTTAGAGTTCAGTTCTATATTAAAGTTTTCCATTGTTTTGTTTTACGTTTTCTAAGATTGAAATTCGTACGAAAGATGTGTAAAAGTTTCATAATTTTTTTTTGGAAAGTTGTGTAAACATTTGTATGAAAGGTGCGGAGGATTTCAATTGTAAAAAGATTGTATTAGTTATACGAGAAATAAAATGGGGGAGGGGGGGGGATTGTTGACGAAAATTAACAGCAAAATGTGCAAACTCACACAAGGATCGCTATTATTTCATAGTAGTTCTAGTATGGTATATCCGTACTACTATCTAAATCATCGGTTCCCAACCTGGGGGTCGCGACCCCCTTGGGGGTCGCGAAGGTCTTACTGGGGGGTCGCCAACTGGTATACTAAACTCTAGCAATGAAAAAAAAACATACATATTTAGAAAAATATTTGAAATTAGGCATTACTAACATCACTGGAAATGGAATAGAGAATAAACAATTTGTAAAGTTGTTCTTAGTCAGGAGTCTATGAAAACTTCCAAACGTCAATTTGAGAAGAGTCATTCGGAACACACCAAAAAAGATATGTAGTTCTTTCGTCGGCATGAAGCTAGTTGTAAACGTCAGAGACTTGATCGAACTGAACGTTTTCACCAAGAAAACACAGCATTAGTGCAATCATCAGATGAAGTAGTATTAGAAATTGCCATGCTGAAGATGGTAAAATCAATTCTTGGGGATTCTAGTGCAGTAAATATGCAACAAATATCTCTGTCTAATAATACTATGCAGCGGCTTATGTTAAAAGACAAATTTAGAATGAAATCAAGCTTTCACCATTGTTTGATTTTCAAGTTGACGAATCGACAGATGTGAGTTCGTGTTCGAAGTTGCTTGTCTTTGTGAAATATATTCATTCAGATGTTAGCAAATAAGAGTTGATGTTTTGTGAAGATATCATGGAGAAAATAAATACGTTTTTTTGAAACTGGAGGATTAAAATGGGAAAACGGCTGTGGGGCTTGTACGGATGGTGCGTCATGTTTCAGTACGCTGGCTGTCAATAGGAAATGTCAATCTTGTTTTTGAATTGAAAGATGAAATCAAGATGTTCTTGGAAGTGCAAGGCAGAGGCGTAGCGATGGGGAAAGGGGTGGGGGTGGGGGGGGCAATGGGGTACATATGTCCCCGGACGCCGACCTTAGGGGGCGCCAAAATGGGATGTAAAAACAAATTAAAATGTCATTTTAGTTGCATTTTTGCATTATAAATAGTTTCAGGGGGGTGCAAATTGAAAATTTGGGGGCGCAAAATTGAAAGTTTGTCCCTGGGCGCCGGGAAGGGTCGCTACGCCTCTGGTGCAAGTAAACAAGACCTTTTGATATACTTTAACGACATGGTGTGGTTGGAGAGAATATCATACCTAGCGGATATACTCGAACATCAACATAACCTTAACCTGATAAAGGAACGAATATTATCTCTTTTTATGAAAATCTCTTGGCATTTTGATCAAAGCTGGAGAATTGGCGAGGAAAAATAAATATTTGAAATACTGCCATGTTTGAGAAACTCTGCAGTGTGGTGTGATAAATACAATTTTTAAAGAATTCTGTGCATCTTGAATCTCTTTACAACGAACTGCGGCGTTATTTTCCCCGAGCTGAAAGAAGAAGAATCTGCATTGTCTCTGCTTTCCTTGATGTTACCAGCATTGCCGATGAATAACAAGATGAATTCTTAAATTTGCAAAATTTAATTGTTAATGCTAGTTAATGCTTGTTAATAGCATGTAATTTTGCTCATCGTATTAAAACAGTTATCAAGAATAATTCATATAGAAAGTCTACAAGAAAATATTAATTTATTGCTTATTATTTGCTTTACTAATTTCGACTTGTTAATTATAAGGGGGTCGCGGGTCACTTACGTTTTATGAAAGGGGGTCGCCACTCGAAAAATGTTGGGAACCACTGATCTAAATGATACATTGCTTATTTTGAGGAAATAATGTTCCTTCGGGGCATTGCACTGAATATTCATTATTATTAATTATATTGCCATGTTTACAACAAAACTCTGTACTGTTTACTGCTTCTAGATTCTAGGTATTCTATCAACAACTAAATTTAATTTTTTATGTCATCAAAACAATTAAAATATATGTATTTGATTGTTATTGTGTAAAATACATAGATAGCCGTAGAATAAATGTTTCGACACAGTCTTTGATGAGTAACATTTGCTAATTCTCGTGAATGAATGTTTCTCAGTGTGGTCTATGCACCAAAGCTCCTCTAGTACCGTGGCCCATACAACTTCCTTTACTTTACTCACCAGAGCTGCTCTAGTAAGGTCTCCCCTTCCTTTACTTTACTCCCCAGAGCTGCTCTAGTAAGGTCTCCCCTTCCTTTACTTTACTCACCAGAGCTCCTCTAGTAAGGTCTCCCCTTCCTTTACTTTACTCACCAGAGCTGCTCTAGTAAGGTCTCCCCTTCCTTTACTTTACTCACCAGAGCTGCTCTAGTAAGGTCTCCCCTTCCTTTACTTTACTCACCAGAGCTGCTCTAGTAAGGTCTCCCCTTCCTTTACTTTACTCCCCAGAGCTGCTCTAGTAAGGTCTCCCCTTCCTTTACTTTACTCACCAGAGCTGCTCTAGTAAGGTCTCCCCTTCCTTTACTTTACTCCCCAGAGCTGCTTTAGTAAGGTCTCCCCTTCCTTTCCTTTACTCACCAGACCTCCTCTAGTACCGAGGCCCGTACAACTTCCTCTACTTTACTCACCAGATCTCCGCTACAACTGGTACCGTGGCTCCTTCAACTTCCTGCGCCCCGAGCTGAACCCTCAGTACTTTCTCTCACAGAATGGCAAGCTCTACATCTCTGAGGTCCAGCCAGCTGACCAGTAAGTGACCACACCTTAATCGTTACTTTAACATGAGCTTTGGATGAGTTAACTGCTTGAAAATGCACACACTGAGGAACTATTTGTATATTTATCTTGGATTAATTATTAATATAAGTAAGGGGTAAGTAAAGTTCCCTTTTCAAACCTGACGGTCTACGTGGCAAGTGAGGTAGAGTTCACTTGTTTCTGAAGAGACAGTGTGGTCAGTATTATGCCCAGCCACGTTTACTTTCCCTAACATGAGTTAGGTACGCATCAGAGCTGGGTGGACTCAGGGACGGTCTACTGACTTGAGCCCGGGTTCGAACTCGAGACTGACAATTTAGCAAGCCACTCTGTCCCAAAATCGTTAATTATTGGTATCCTTTCTGTTTGATCGAATTTGTAACGCGTTTTAACAAACATTTGATGTCAGCTTTAGAGCAGTAATAAGTTTAGCTGTAAAAATGAACAATAAGTTCAACTGGAATATTTTTTAAATGTCAGATTTTATTTTAAAATAAATTTCACATTTTATTCCAACGTTAATCTGGTTTTTCGAAGCTGTAGTCTCTTCTCTAATCTTAGCTATAATCACCCCTATACTCTGATATACAATTACCCCCACAATCTCAGCTATAATCCGACCTATAAAATGTAATATCCTTATAATCTCAGCTATAACATCAGCTATAACATCAGCTATAAGCTATAACCTTTGTTGTAATATATCCCCGATAACCCCAATCCTTAATCTCCCTCCCACTAGAGATGAGTACTACTGCATGGTGTTCATGGCGCCGAAAAGTGGTCAGGTGGTGTCTGGCACCCAGCTACCGTCTAGAACGTCCATGGGCATAGAGCTGAGGGTACAGGGCGAGAGTGAGTACATACGGGTACAACATTTTACAGGCATAATGTAATGTGAGGTGGGTGGGGGGTTAAAGCGAGAGTGAGTACACACTGATACAACATTTTACAGGCATAATGTAATGTGAGGTGGGTGGGGGGTTAAAGCGAGAGTGAGTACACACTGATACAACATTTTACAGGCATAATGTAATGTGAGGTGGGTGGGGGGTTAAAGCGAGAGTGAGTACACACTGATACAACATTTTACAGGCATAATGTAATGTGAGGTGGGTGGGGGGTTAAAGCGAGAGTGAGTACACACTGATACAACATTTTACAGGCATAATGTAATGTGAGGTGGGGGGGGGGGGTTAAAGCGAGAGTGAGTACACACTGATACAACATTTTACAGGCATAATGTAATGTGAGGTGGGTGGGGGGTTAAAGCGAGAGTGAGTACACACTGATACAACATTTTACAGGCATAATGTAATGTGAGGTGGGTGGGGGTTGGGGTAAGGCAAGAGTGAGTACACACTGATACAACATTTTACAGGCATAATGTAATGTGAGGTGGGTGGGGGTTGGGGTAAGGCAAGAGTGAGTACACACTGATACAACATTTTACAGGCATAATGTAATGTGAGGTGGGTGGGGGTTGGGGTAAGGCAAGAGTGAGTACACACTGATACAACATTTTACAGGCATAATGTAATGTGAGGTGGGTGGGGGTTGGGGTAAGGCAAGAGTGAGTACACACTGATACAACATTTTACAGGCATAATGTAATGTGAGGTAGGGGTGAGTACACACTGATAGAACAAAGTTTTAGAGACGTTATGTAATGTGAAGTGGGAGTGGGTACACACTGATACAATATTTATAGATGTTATGTCATGTGAGGTGGGGGTGAGTACACAATGATACACACTTTTTTACAGACATTATTTGGTATGAGGTGGGGGTGCAAGGGGAGGGTGAGTACACACTGATGCAACCAAATTTTACAGACATTATGCAGTGTGCGGTGGGTTTTGAGTATAGACTAATGCATCAAAACCTCTCTTTATAGACAGATACTATGTAATGTTAAATTATGCTATCCGTATTGACCTAACAATAAACGGAGCAAATAAGGTAGTTACAGTTGTTCATCTTATGAATGAATACTTTGGTTTATGCCATGCAGAGGCGTAGCGACCCTTCCCGTTGCCGGGAACAAACTTTCAATTTGGCGCCCCCCCCTCCACCCCATATATTTTTTATATTTATAATGCAAAACTGCAGTTAAAATGAGCTTTTAATTATTTTTTTCCAACCCATTTTGGCGCCCCCTGCCCCCCCCCTCTCGCTAAGCCTCTGATGTCATGCAACCTTTACTTTTCCTGACTTAAGTGAGGTCTACATCACGATTGGGTAAATGTAACTACATTCCGCGTACTCTAATCCTGGAATCAGACTTGCGACTTTCGAAAGATCAGTCATGCACTCCACTATCTACCCTATAATATGCCGCGTTGGATGTAGATTGCATACGATTATTCACCTGGATGCTAACTCTCCCCAGTGAAATAACCAAATAGAAATATATAATATAGTGATATATCCCGATGTCTGTTACAGGTGCCAACACGTACGGCCCCGACATCCAGGACAAATTTCCCCAATATTTCCCCACTGTCCCTATGGTAGGTGACCAAGTGGAGATCGAATGTCTCGCCTACGGCAGGTAATTTTTGTTTAGAATGTCTCGCCTACGGAAGGTAATTTTTGTTTAGAATGTCTAGCTTACGGCAGGTAATTTTTGTTTAGAATGTCTAGCCTACGGCAGGTAATTTTTGTTTAGAATCTCTGTTTACGGCAGGTAATTTTTGTTTAGAATCTCTGTTTACGGCAGGTAATTTTTGTTTAGAATGTCTCGCCTACGGCAGGTAATTTTTTTTTAGAATCTCTGTTTACGGCAGGTAATTTTTGTTTAGAATGTCTCGCCTACGGCAGGTAATTTTTTTTTAGAATCTCTGTTTACGGCAGGTAATTTTTGTTTAGAATGTCTAGCCTACGGCAGGTAATTTTTGTTTAGAATGTCTCGCCTACGGCAGGTAATTTTTTTTTTAGAATCTCCGGTTACGGCAGGTAATTTTTGTTTAGAATCTCTGTTTACGGCAGGTAATTTTTGTTTAGAATGTCTAGCCTACGGCAGGTAATTTTTGTTTAGAATGTGTAGCCTACGGCAGGTAATTTTTGTTTAAAATATGTAGCCTACGGCAGGTAATTTTTGTTTAGAATGTCTAGCCTACGGCAGGTAATTTTTGTTTAAAATGTGTAGCCTACGGCAGGTAATTTTTGTTTACAATGTCTGGCCTACGGCAGGTAATTTTTGTTTAGAATGTCTAGCCTACGGCAGGTAATTTTTATTCAGAATGTCAGGTTACGGCAGGTAATTTTTGTTTAGAATGTCAGGTTACGGCAGGTAATTTTTGTTTAAAATGTCTGGCTTACGGCAGGTAATTTTTGTTTAGAATTTTTATTACAAGAACTCTGGTTTAGCCACCTAGCTCTACTTAATGTTTAGCCTCCTAGCTCTACTTTGTGTTTAACCTCTCCTAGCTCTACTTTATGTTTAACCTCCAAGCTCTACTTAATGTTTAGCCTCCTAGATCTACTTAATGTTTAGCCTCCTAGATCTACTTAATGTTTAGCCTCCTAGATCTACTTAATGTTTAGCCACCTAGATCTACTTAATGTTTAGCCACCTAGCTCTACTTTATGTTTAGCCACCTAGCTTTACTTTATGTTTAGCCACCTAGCTCTACTTCCTGTTGCTCTACTTTATGTTTAGACACCTAGCTCTACTTTATGTTTAGCCACCTAGCTCTACTTTATGCTTAGCCTTCTTGCTCTACTTAATGTTTAGCCACCTAGCTCTACTGTGTATCTTATCCAGTTGTACCTTGTCTCTTAGACTACCCCTGCTCTACTCCTGGGTGAGGGAAGACGGCGCCCTACACCCCGGGGCCACCACTAGGGACCACAACCGTGTGTTGGTGCTACCCTCTGCCAGACTCCAAGACACGGGGGCCTACACGTGCGTGGTGAGGGGGGGCCACAACACGGCTAACAAAACAGTCTACCTCAGCCTGAAAGGTAAGAGGGGAACGGCTGTTCATATCTTTTATCCAACAGTTGACACTGTTGTTGCTTTGTTGTTGTTGTTGTCTTGTAATTCATCACATACTACAATGTACTTTACACGAACGTCCATCAACGTTGTAGCCAACTTTGATCTTTTACCTTATAGGTTATCACAAAATATATTCCAAAATGACATGAAAGTTCAAATTCTACCCAGTCCCCCCACCCCCAACCACACCTCATAAAACAGCTAGATTGTCATCACTTAAATCTTTTAAAATATAACAAAATTAAAACACCAAATTGGTTAAATCCAACTAATTCCTTCCACCACGTAAAATATCTACTAAAAAGTCACCACCCCCAGCCCCTTTCAAGACTTTGGACGCCGTGTTAGTACAACAGCTAGTTTAATTTTTAGAACATATATCTTTTATTTTGACCTTACCCAGCGGCTTGTAATATTGACAAAACATACCAGTCACGTGATACTGACCTGATCGAAAATTTATTTCGGTTTTATTTTTTCCCTCCAGCCGTCCCCTACTTCCCCTACCCCCTACAGAACCAGCACGTTGACGCCAAATCGACCTTGACCTGGACCTGCCACGCCATTGGCGTCCCCGCCCCCGTCTACACCTGGTACAAGAACGGCACCCCCCTAAAGTCCAGCACGACAGACGGCATCACGGTAGGTCAACATGAACCTCTACATCAGCAATAAGATGGAGAAAATAACAGATGTTTCACAGAGGCGTAGCGAACCTTCCCGGCGCCCGGGGACAAACTTTCAATTTGGCGCCCCCCCTCCCCCATTTATTTCTTATATTTATAATGCAAAACTGCAGCTAATATGAGCCTTAATTTTTTTGTTTCAACCCATTTTGGCGCCCCCTAGGGTCTGACATATGTACCTCCCGCCACCCCCCCTCGCTACGCCTCTGTTTCATTTAGCTTTTCTTATATGTTAGCAACCAACAAGTAGTGTTCAAACCGGCAACTTCGTGGTATGTGTTAAGCCCACACAAAGCTAGTTAGTCGGAGTTCACTACGTCGAGGCCTATTGGGGGTTCTAATCCTGCTCCGATATATCCCTATCACAAAAAGTAAAGTAAAAGTTTCCCTTTCAAACCTGACGGTCTATGGGGTAAGTGAAGTAGAGTTCACTTGTTTCTGTGACCTCGGCATATGAAGAGATAGTGTTTTCAGCACTATGCCCAGCCGCCTTTACTTTCCCTAACGTGAGTTAGGTACCTATCAGAGTTGGGTGGACTCAGTGATGGTCTACTGACTTGAACCAGGATTCGAGCAGTCCAGCTCTCTACCGCTAGACCACACCGTCCCAACCTATCACGACAGCTGTTCTTATTTAAGAACGACCGACATATAACAAGCCTAGTGTCCTGTTATACCTAAATGTGAATACATTTTTTCTCTTAAAAAACGACAAAAAATTTAAACTGTGTAAAATGTCATATGATGTGTCGACCAGGTCTACAGAAACACACTGACCATTGAAAGCGTCGAGGGATCGAAACACGCTGGGATGTACGAGTGTGAGGCAAACAACGCTTATGGCAAGGCGAGGTCCTCTGCCCAGCTCAGGGCCCTATGTAAGTTGATGAGAGTGTGTCTCAATGAGCCACCTCCATCCCCGGAAGAACGTGTCCCCCTCCCCCATCCCACCCGACGGAAGAAATAGAAAATGTATAATCTGTAAAATATATATATATATATATATATATATATATATATATATATATATATATATATATATATATATATATATATATATATATATATATATATATATATATATATATATATATATATATATACTTTAAAAAGATTTATAAGTTTCCCCAGTTAAGTTTCAAGTGCGCCCCCCCCCCCAACCCCAAAGAGAAGAATGTCTGAAGGAAACCCTTGACAAATGAAGGGTCAATGTGGTTCCTAACAAACGCCCAGCCACGTTTACTTTCAGTAAATTGAATCAGGCACTCATCGAACTGGTTGAACTGGCACGAGTAGAGAGTCAGAACCCGAGACTTTTAGGTTATACGTCGAACGTCCTACCGTCTGACCACACCGTTCCATAACACAATACCTATCTGACATACACACCATATTTAAAAACTGTTATTGAGTAATTAACAGGTACCGTTAATGAACATTTTTTCAATTATTAATTGAGCAGACTTCGCCCCGACCTTCCTCAACAGTCCCGTCGAACGAACCAAAATGGCGGCGGAGGGCGGGAACATCAGCCTCGCCTGCCGTCCTCAAGCAGCCCCGCGGGCCCAGATCACGTGGTTGAAGAACGGAGCGGAAGTGGGTGTGACCTTGCCCAACGGTGACCTTCACCTGTCAGCGCTCACGTTGGCGGATTCGGGGAACTACACGTGCGTGGCGAGTAACGAGTTGGGCCAGGTCACCGCGACCTGTCTGCTCGACGTCCAAGGTGAGTGGATTGTTTTGTTATAGGAGGTGGAGTCAGGAGGTGGAGTCAGGAGGTGGAGTCAGGAGGTAGAGTCTGGAGGTGGAGTCAGTCAGGAGGTGGATTCTGAGGGTAGAGTCTGGAGGTGGAGTCAGTGGTGGAGTCAGGAGGTGAAGGCAGGAGGTGGTCTGGGGTTGGAGTCAGCCATGCGGTGGAGTAATGAGTTGGAGTCAGGAGGGGAAGGCAGGAGGTGGAGTCAGGAGGTGAAGGCAGGAGGTGGTCTGGGGGTGGAGTCAGCCATGCGGTAGAGTAATGTGTTGGAGTCAGGAGGGGAAGGCAGGAGGTGGAGTCAGGAGGTGAAGGCAGGAGGTGGTCTGGGGGTGGAGTCAGCCATGCGGTGGAGTAATGAGTTGGAGTCAGGAGGTGAAGGCAGGAGGTGGAGTCAGGAGGGGAAGGCAGGACGTGGAGTCAGGAGGGGAAGGCAGGAGGTGAAGGCAGGAGGTGGTCTGGGGCTGGAGTCTGGGAGCCAAGCAGGAGGTGAAGTCGGGGTGGAGTCAGTAGGTGGAGTTCAGGTGGTGGAGTCTAGGGTGGAAGCAGGAGATGGAGTCAGTGGCGTAGGTGTTAGACCACCCCTTCCACTTGATAAATCCTGCCCACGCCCCTGCTTCTAGAGCAGCTTCTCAAGATGAAAGAATGATTTCTCCCACAACGAAGTCTGTTTTTACCTTATTTCTCCCACGGAGAAGTCTGTTTTTACTTGATTTTATCCCACAGAGAAGTCTGTTTTTACCTGATTCCTCCCACAGAGAAGTCTGTTTTTACGTGATTTCTCCTACAGAGAAGTCTGTTTTTACCTGATTTCTCCCACAGAGAAGTCTGTTTTTTACCTGATTTCTCTCACAGAGAAGTCTGTTTTTAACTGATTTCTCTCACAGAGAAGTCTGTTTTTACCTGATTTCTCCCACAGAGAAGTCTGTTTTCACCTGATTTCTCCCAAAGAAGTCTGCTTTTACCTGATTTCTCCCACAGAGAAGTCTGCTTTTACCTGATTTCTCTCACAGAGAAGTCTGTTTTTACCTGATTTCTCCCACAGAGAAGTCTGTTTTTACTTGATTTCTCCCAAAGAAGTCTGCTTTTACCTGATTTCTCCCACAGAGAAGTCTGTTTTTACCTGATTTCTCCCACAGAGAAGTCTGTTTTTACCAGATTTCTCCCAAAGAAGTCTGCTTTTACCTGATTTCTCCTACAGAGAAGTCTGTTTTTACCTGATTTCTCCCACAGAGAAGTTTGTTTTTACCTGATTTCTCTCACAGAGAAGTCTGTTTTTAACTGATTTCTCTCACAGAGAAGTCTGTTTTACCTGATTTCTCCAACAGAGAAGTCTGTTTTTACCTTATTAACCAGAAAAGTCTGTTTTACCTGATTTCTCCAACAGAGAAGTCTGTTTTTACCTGATTTCTCTCACAGAGAAGTCTGTTTTTACCTGATTTCTCCCACAGAGAAGTCTGTTTTTACCTGATTTCTCCCAAAGAAGTCTGCTTTTACCTGATTTTTCCCACAGAGAAGTCTGTTTTTACCTGATTTCTCTCACAGAGAAGTCTGTTTTTAACTGATTTCTCTCACAGAGAAGTCTGTTTTTACCTGATTTCTCCCACAGAGAAGTCTGTTTTTACCTGATTTCTCCCAAAGAAGTCTGCTTTTACCTGATTTCTCCCACAGAGAAGTCTGTTTTTACCTGATTTCTCCCACAGAGAAGTCTGTTTTTACCTGATTTCTCCCAAATAAGTCTGCTTTTACCTGATTTCCTCACAGAGAAGTCTGTTTTTAGCTGATTTCTCCCACAGAGAAGTCTGTTTTACCTGATTTCTCCAACAGAGAAGTCTGTTTTTACCTTATTAACCAGAAAAGTCTGTTTTACCTGATTTCTCCAACAGAGAAGTCTGTTTTTACCTTATTAACCAGAAAAGTCTGTTTTCACCTGATTTCTCCCACAGAGAAATCTGTTTTTACCTGATTTCTCTCACAGAGAAGTCTGTTTTTAACTGATTTCTCTCACAGAGAAGTCTGTTTTTAACTGATTTCTCTCACAGAGAAGTCTGTTTTACCTGATTTCTCCAACAGAGAAGTCTGTTTTTACCTTATTAACCAGAAAAGTCTGTTTTACCTGATTTCTCCAACAGAGAAGTCTGTTTTTACCTGATTTCTCTCACAGAGAAGTCTGTTTTTACCTGATTTCTCCCACAGAGAAGTCTGTTTTTACCTGATTTCTCCCAAAGAAGTCTGCTTTTACCTGATTTTTCCCACAGAGAAGTCTGTTTTTACCTGATTTCTCTCACAGAGAAGTCTGTTTTTAACTGATTTCTCTCACAGAGAAGTCTGTTTTTACCTGATTTCTCCCACAGAGAAGTCTGTTTTTACCTGATTTCTCCCAAAGAAGTCTGCTTTTACCTGATTTCTCCCACAGAGAAGTCTGTTTTTACCTGATTTCTCCCACAGAGAAGTCTGTTTTTACCTGATTTCTCCCAAATAAGTCTGCTTTTACCTGATTTCCTCACAGAGAAGTCTGTTTTTAGCTGATTTCTCCCACAGAGAAGTCTGTTTTACCTGATTTCTCCAACAGAGAAGTCTGTTTTTACCTTATTAACCAGAAAAGTCTGTTTTACCTGATTTCTCCAACAGAGAAGTCTGTTTTTACCTTATTAACCAGAAAAGTCTGTTTTCACCTGATTTCTCCCACAGAGAAATCTGTTTTTACCTGATTTCTCTCACAGAGAAGTCTGTTTTTAACTGATTTCTCTCACAGAGAAGTCTGTTTTTAACTGATTTCTCTCACAGAGAAGTCTGTTTTACCTGATTTCTCCAACAGAGAAGTCTGTTTTTACCTTATTAACCAGAAAAGTCTGTTTTACCTGATTTCTTCAACAGAGAAGTCTGTTTTTACCTGATTTCTCTCACAGAGAAGTCTGTTTTTACCTGATTTCTCCCACAGAGAAGTCTGTTTTTACCTGATTTCTCCCAAAGAAGTCTGCTTTTACCTGATTTTTCCCACAGAGAAGTCTGTTTTTACCTGATTTCTCTCACAGAGAAGTCTGTTTTTAACTGATTTCTCTCACAGAGAAGTCTGTTTTTACCTGATTTCTCCCACAGAGAAGTCTGTTTTTACCTGATTTCTCCCAAAGAAGTCTGCTTTTACCTGATTTCTCCCACAGAGAAGTCTGTTTTTACCTGATTTCTCCCACAGAGAAGTCTGTTTTTACCTGATTTCTCCCAAATAAGTCTGCTTTTACCTGATTTCCTCACAGAGAAGTCTGTTTTTAGCTGATTTCTCCCACAGAGAAGTCTGTTTTACCTGATTTCTCCAACAGAGAAGTCTGTTTTTACCTTATTAACCAGAAAAGTCTGTTTTACCTGATTTCTCCAACAGAGAAGTCTGTTTTTACCTTATTAACCAGAAAAGTCTGTTTTCACCTGATTTCTCCCACAGAGAAATCTGTTTTTACCTGATTTCTCTCACAGAGAAGTCTGTTTTTAACTGATTTCTCTCACAGAGAAGTCTGTTTTTAACTGATTTCTCTCACAGAGAAGTCTGTTTTACCTGATTTCTCCAACAGAGAAGTCTGTTTTTACCTTATTAACCAGAAAAGTCTGTTTTACCTGATTTCTCCAACAGAGAAGTCTGTTTTTACCTGATTTCTCTCACAGAGAAGTCTGTTTTTACCTGATTTCTCCCACAGAGAAGTCTGTTTTTACCTGATTTCTCCCAAAAAAGTCTGCTTTTACCTGATTTTTCCCACAGAGAAGTCTGTTTTTACCTGATTTCTCTCACAGAGAAGTCTGTTTTTAACTGATTTCTCTCACAGAGAAGTCTGTTTTTACCTGATTTCTCCCACAGAGAAGTCTGTTTTTACCTGATTTCTCCCAAAGAAGTCTGCTTTTACCTGATTTCTCCCACAGAGAAGTCTGTTTTTACCTGATTTCTCCCACAGAGAAGTCTGTTTTTACCTGATTTCTCCCAAATAAGTCTGCTTTTACCTGATTTCCTCACAGAGAAGTCTGTTTTTAGCTGATTTCTCCCACAGAGAAGTCTGTTTTACCTGATTTCTCCAACAGAGAAGTCTGTTTTTACCTTATTAACCAGAAAAGTCTGTTTTACCTGATTTCTCCAACAGAGAAGTCTGTTTTTACCTTATTAACCAGAAAAGTCTGTTTTCACCTGATTTCTCCCACAGAGAAATCTGTTTTTACCTGATTTCTCTCACAGAGAAGTCTGTTTTTAACTGATTTCTCTCACAGAGAAGTCTGTTTTTAACTGATTTCTCTCACAGAGAAGTCTGTTTTACCTGATTTCTCCAACAGAGAAGTCTGTTTTTACCTTATTAACCAGAAAAGTCTGTTTTACCTGATTTCTCCAACAGAGAAGTCTGTTTTTACCTGATTTCTCTCACAGAGAAGTCTGTTTTTACCTGATTTCTCCCACAGAGAAGTCTGTTTTTACCTGATTTCTCCCAAAGAAGTCTGCTTTTACCTGATTTTTCCCACAGAGAAGTCTGTTTTTACCTGATTTCTCTCACAGAGAAGTCTGTTTTTAACTGATTTCTCTCACAGAGAAGTCTGTTTTTACCTGATTTCTCCCACAGAGAAGTCTGTTTTTACCTGATTTCTCCCAAAGAAGTCTGCTTTTACCTGATTTCTCCCACAGAGAAGTCTGTTTTTACCTGATTTCTCCCACAGAGAAGTCTGTTTTTACCTGATTTCTCCCAAATAAGTCTGCTTTTACCTGATTTCCTCACAGAGAAGTCTGTTTTTAGCTGATTTCTCCCACAGAGAAGTCTGTTTTACCTGATTTCTCCAACAGAGAAGTCTGTTTTTACCTTATTAACCAGAAAAGTCTGTTTTACCTGATTTCTCCAACAGAGAAGTCTGTTTTTACCTTATTAACCAGAAAAGTCTGTTTTCACCTGATTTCTCCCACAGAGAAATCTGTTTTTACCTGATTTCTCTCACAGAGAAGTCTGTTTTTAACTGATTTCTCTCACAGAGAAGTCTGTTTTTAACTGATTTCTCTCACAGAGAAGTCTGTTTTACCTGATTTCTCCAACAGAGAAGTCTGTTTTTACCTTATTAACCAGAAAAGTCTGTTTTACCTGATTTCTCCAACAGAGAAGTCTGTTTTTACCTTATTAACCAGAAAAGTCTGTTTTCACCTGATTTCTCCCACAGAGAAGTCTGTTTTTATCTGATTTCTCCCACAGAGAAGTCTGCTTTTACCTGATTTCTCCCACAGAGAAGTCTGTTTATACCTGATTTCTCCCACAGAGAAGTCTGTTTTTACCTGATTTCTCCCACAGAGAAGTCTGTTTTTACCTGATTTCTCTCACAGAGAAGTCTGTTTTTAACTGATTTCTTTCACAGAGAAGTCTGTTTTTACCAGATTTCTCCCACAGAGAAGTCTGTTTTTACCTGATTTCTCCCACAGAGAAGTCTATTTTTACCAGATTTCTCCCACAGAAAAGTCTGTTTTACCTGATTTCTCCCAAAGAAATCTGTTTTTACCTGATTTCTCCCACAGAGAAATCTGTTTTTACCTTATTAACCAAAAGTCTGTTTTTACCTGACTTTTCCCACAGAGGTCTGTTTTTACCTGATTTCTCCCACAGAGAAGTCTGTTTTTGCGGACGTGCCGTCTGACGCCGAGGTCGAGCAGAACCAGACGGCCGTGCTGCCGTGTCGGGCGTCGTTCAGCAGGGGCGACCTTGACATTGCCTACACCTGGACGTTCTACTCGCACCTCATCGACCTGACCCAGGGCGGGGATGACGTCACACACTTCTCTATGGTAATTTATTGCCCGTTATTTTTTAACCACCTGCACCAACGTTAACGTCTTTAACATTCAATGTCTTTTTTTTTTAATGACGAGCATTAGAATAATCATCGTCACCATTATTAACTTTATCATTCTTAACACCATCATCATCATCAAAATAACAATATTGTCATCTTCATTACCACCATTATTAAAATATTCGTTACATAGACAAACGTGGGTATCGTTATCATTGATATTGAAATCATTATCTTTATTAAAATCTTAATTACTATCATCATTACATTGCAATTTGCAGTCATCTTTAAAATCGTGGTTACATTGAATATTGGGAATATCATTAACATTAAAATCATTATCAATTTTATCAATATATTATTATTATATTATTATTTTTATATTGTAATATACAATCATCATTTAAAAAATCATTGTTAAACTGACCATCGTCAGTGGCGTAGCGAGGTCGGTTGTCACCCGGTGCGGCACTTAATGATGTCACCCTCCCAGAGGCGTAGCGACCCTTCCCGGCCCCGGGGATAAACTTTAACTTTAAATTTGGCGCGCTCTCTGGATCAACCTTTCAATTTTCGATTTGCACCCCCCTCCCTCAAACTTTCGATTTGCACCCCCCTCCCTCAAACTTTCGATTTGCACCCCCTCCCTCAAACTTTCGATTTGCACCCCCCTCCCTCAAACTTTCGATTTGCTCCCCCCTACCTCAAACTTTCGATTTACACCCCCCCTCCCTCAAACTTTCGATTTGCTCCCCCCTCCCTCAAACTTTCGATTTGCACCCCATCCACCCTTGTCGGGATTTGTCAAAGTTGCTCTAAAAGACTATTTAACATTCAACACTTAATTAAGTGGAATTATCATTTTTCTCTATATATTTTGCTATTTTTTGCCTTGGTGTCACCCCCCTTCCCCAAATGGTGCCGCCCGGTGCAGTCCGCAACCCCCCTCCCTCGCTAAGCCACTGACCATCGTTATCTTCATCATCATTAACATTGAAACCGTCGTTAGCGATGGTGGCTATACAGTTTATCACCAACTGTGTCAGTTTGCCTTTAAATCTGTAGCCCTACCTGGCAAGTCAAGGAAACGGCATGTTGTACATCATATCAGCCCAGTTCCGGCATGAGGGCGAGTACACGTGTCACGTGTCAACCGTCACTGGCACTATCAGTAGCAAGGCTTTCTTGAAGGTCAAAGGTGGGATAACTCTAGTGTGTTTAGGTTTTCAAGATAAACATTTTATAGTGTAGTTATTTCCCTTTATAAGGATAAATTAACACGTTTATATGAAACAAAATAATCAATGGTGCTACAATAGGAATTAGGCATCATTTTCAGTATACACATGTTAATACACACACACACATATGTGTGTATATATATATATATATATATATATATATATATATATATATATATATATATATATATATATATATATATATATATATATATATATATATATATATATACACACATATGTGTGTGTGTGTGCGCGTGCGTGTGTGTGTGTGTGTGTCTTTGTGTCTTTGTATGTGTGTGGTGTGTATGCCAATGTGTATATGTATTAGCTGTGATTTGTATCTTGTGTTGTGTGTGTATTTATGGGTGTGCAAAGGCGGCTGGGCATAGTGCTGACCACACTATACATTCATATGCCCCAAGTGTCGAGGGCACAAACAGGAAAAGATAATGAGGTGATGATTGTATGTAGTTTGCTTTATAGATTGTGTGATGTGTGTGTGTGTGTCTGAGTGAGTGTGTTAGTGATTAAATGAGTCAGTGTGTGTGTATAAATGTGTTGATTATGTTAGCTTCAGCCGCTAAATATACACAATATCATTGCTAGACACCAACTCTGCCATCCCCACAAGTGGGTACACCACTGACTGTGACCCCCCCCCACATGTGGGTACTCCACTGACTGTGACCCCCCCCCCCCCACATGTAGGTACGTCACAGACTGTGACCCCCATATGTGGGTACACGACTGACTGTAACCCCCACATATAGGTACACCACTGACCCCCACATATAGGTACACCACTGACCACCACATGTGGGTACACCACTGACCACCACATGTGGGTACACGACTGACTGTAACCCCCACATATAGGTACACCACTGACCCCCACATATAGGTACACCACTGACCACCACATGTGGGTACACCACTGACCACCACATGTGGGTACACGACTGACTGTAACCCCCACATATAGGTACACCACTGACCACCACATGTGGGTACACGACTGACTGTAACCCCCACATATAGGTACACCACTGACCACCACATGTGGGTACACGACTGACTGTAACCCCCACATATAGGTACACCACTGACCACCACATGTGGGTACACCACTGACCACCACATGTGGGTACACCACTGACTGTAACCCCCACATATAGGTACACCACTGACCACCACATGTGGGTACACCACTGACTGTAACCCCCACATGTAGGTACACCACTAACCCCCACATGTGGGTACACCACTAACCCCCACATGTGGGTACACCACTGACTGTGACCCCCCACATGTGGCTACACCACTGACTGTGACCCCCCACATGTGGCTACACCACTGACTGTGACCCCCCACATGTGGCTACACCACTGACTGTGACCCCCCACATGTAGCTACACCACTGACTGTGACCCCCCACATGTGGCTACACCACTGACTGTGACCCCCCACATGTGGCTACACCACTGACTGTGACCCTCCACATGTGGCTACACCACTGACTGTGACCCCCCACATGTGGCTACACCACTGACTGTGACCCTCCACATGTGGCTACACCACTGACTGTGACCCCCCACATGTGGCTACACCACTGACTGTGACCCTCCACATGTGGCTACACCACTGACTGTGGTGACCCCCCACATGTGGCTACACCACTGACTGTGACCCCCCACATGTGGCTACACCACTGACTGTGACCCTCCACATGTGGCTACACCACTGACTGTGACCCCCCACATGTGGCTACACCACTGACTGTGACCCTCCACATGTGGCTACACCACTGACTGTGACCCCCCACATGTGGCTACACCACTGACTGTGACCCTCCACATGTGGCTACACCACTGACTGTGACCCCCCACATGTGGCTACACCACTGACTATGACCCCACATGTGGCTACACCACTGACTGTGACCCCCCACATGTGGCTACACCACTGACTGTGACCCCCCACATGTGGCTACACCACTGACTGTGACCCCCCACATGTGGCTACACCACTGACTGTGACCCCCCACATGTGGCTACACCACTGACTATGACCCCACATGTGGCTACACCACTGACTGTGACCCCCCACATGTGGCTACACCACTGACTGTGACCCCCCACATGTGGCTACACCACTGACTGTGACCCCCCACATGTGGCTACACCACTGACTATGACCCCACATGTGGCTACACCACTGACTGTGACCCCCAACCTTCTCTAGGACCCCCAGGAGAACCAGGTGGTGTTCACGTCAGGGACCACAACTCCTCCCTGACAACTTACGACAACGTCAACTTGTGGTGGCAGGACGGCGAGAACCACGGGTATCATGTGACCAAGTATAGCATCGAGTACCTGTCAGTGTACGAGACGGACTGGCGACTTCTCAAATCAGGTCAGTGATTGTACAGTCTATGGTTCTACGACTGGTCAGTGTTTCTCTGGATGGTCAGTATTTCTTTGTGTAATCAGATTTTTTTCTTTACCGTTAGTGCGTTTTTTGAACGGTTAATAATTCTTCAAGTATTCATGGTTTAGGTAATATTTTGGGGTTTTTTTTTGTTTGTTTTTTTTTTGGGGGGGGGGGATTGGGGATGGAGCGGTCGTCTATGTATCTCTGAAAAATTAAACCTGAAATACTGACATTACATTATCGCCACACAAAACCACGAACTCTATGCGATTCAACAAAGACTTTTGACATGATATTCTAATTTTGCTGGCTCCACATACGACACTGGAACGGCGTGGCCTAAGCTGTAGAGCGCTAGGCTACTAACCCGAAAGTCTCGAGTTCTAAATCCGGGTCCAATGTCCATGAGTCCACTCAGCTCTGATGGGTACCTAACTCACGTTACGAAAAGTAAAGGCGGCTGTGCAAATTTGCTGACCACACTTTACCTTCGTATGCCGAGGTCAAAAAACATGAACTACATCGCTAGGTCTAAAAAGGATTCTTTACTTTTCTTTACTAACATACGACACTATGGAACAATCAGCGTCAAACAGATCTCCCCCCCCCCCCCCCCCCCCCATATTTTCACTTCCAGATATCCCAGTAGATCAGACGATCATAGAGAACTACCCAGACTGGCGCGGTGACGTCATAACTGAGGGTCTGTCCCCAGGGACAGCGTACCAGTTCCGTGTAGCCGCGGGGAATGACCAGGTCGGCTACGGGCCTGCAAGCAATGAGCCCCACGGTATGGCAATTTTATTGTTTATTTTTTAAAGTAAATTATGGTGTTTAGAATTTTAAACTGTTGACCTCAACAAGAGCTAAAAACTTATTTTTAAGTGGTGCGCAAACCTTGTTAGAGGACGTAAATTTTTGTCTTATTTTACATAATAAACTTTTTACATCATTGTACATGATGGTTTTTAACATATTTTGTGGTGGCAGTGAGTTTAGAAGCCACGTAATTATTATCCATTACTTTTATTTGTTTTTAACAAATAGTAACTAAAAATAAAAACAAAATAAAAATCAATGTTTATTTTTTTTTTAAGAAAACAAATCTCCCTGAATATTTATAGAAAGGGAGATAACTCAAATAAAAGATTTGGAGATAATTTTAAAAGACCCGTTTCGTCATTGGGGTTTCAAAATGATGAATTAATTGTTCTCTTTACTTTTGTGTTGCAGTCTGGTATACCATGCCGTCTGCCGCTCCTGTTGTCGCCCCCTCTAATATCGAGGGTGGGGGAGGCAGTGTTGGGCTACTACTTATCACGTGGGATGTAAGTCAAAGTTCACAAAATTTGATGTTTTGTTACACATTTAATGCGTACATTGTTTAACTATGTAGACTATTTTAATTTTTAATTTCATTTTTAAATTATTTTTTATGTTTAAAAATTAAAAACCTTCTATCGTTTGGTTTATAAGTTTTTTTTATTTAGCAATCGTGTAAACACTTTGTACATTGTTTTTAAATATTGAATGCGTACATTTTTCTTGTACATCATCATTTAGTACTTACACTTAATTGAAAAACCTTTCTTCTTTTTTTTTTTTTTTGCTATTTAGCTTACGCTAGTTAATGTTGTTGTTTTTTGTTGTTGTTTTTTTTTTTTAAATTGTATGCAATCAATACTTTAAACACAAAAGTTAAACTACCCCATTGCCCGCCTCTAAGATGTCATTGAATTTTTTCAGCCCCTTCCCAGAAGTCAGTGGGGCGGGGAGAATGTACGTTACGTTGTCTATTACCGGAAACAGGATGAGAAAAACCCTAACCGGAAATGGGAAATGGTAGGTACTTACAGGTACAAATAGGTACATAAATGTTATTCATTAATTTACTTTTTTACAAGCTATTGTGTTGGTAAAAAATGATTGTGGGTTGGTGGGTTAATGGACGGGTATCTGGTTTTTTTTTGTGGGTAGGTGGGTTCATGGGTGGGTGTTGGATTATGTGGGTGGGTGTGTTACTGAATAGGCGGTCAAGTATGTGAGTGGGTAAACGGTAGTTCTTCTGGTTAAATCTTGAATTAATTTCATAACCAAAAAAACTAAGTGAGTAAATTTTCTTGGTTTTAGTGCATTTTAAAACGTTTTTTTTTTTTTTTTTTTTGTGACGATGTTTGACAATTGTTATTTAAGCAGTTATCCATTGATCCACACGTTGTGGATAGCAGAGTGGCCTCTCCTGTAAAAACATCCCTATCCTTCTCCCTCCCATCCTCACACCTCTCTTGTTTGGTTTATTTCCCAACCCAACGTATTCTCCAGTTCTACCCTAACGCTACAACTAAACCTAATTTATATCGGCAGAGTATTATAAAAAGGGACTGCGTGACTTAGAGGTAGAGCCCTAGACTGTTAACTCGAAAGTCCCGATTGCGAATCCGGTTTCAACTGAGTACAACGTCTCTGAGTACACCCAGCTCTTATGGGTACATAGCTCACGTTAGGAAGTGTAAAGGTGGCTGGGCAGGGGCGGAACTACAGTGCCGCCAGACCCCGCAATGCGGGGGGGGGAGGGGGGGCACGCCATTTAGGGGCCTATAGCCGACCATAATAATTTTTTTATAGTGTAGTAAAAAAATAATTTTCTTGCATTTTTTACTTGACCGTAAACGCTTTTTGTAAATAACAAAGAGATCTACTACAGTAGTGATGTTATACAGTAGCTAACACATGCTGTTGCGTAAAAAATATATATATGCCTGAGCTGTAGTGTGAAAGATAGGCAAACGTTCAAAACACTTCCATGACTTATTTCCCTTTTTTAAATAGTTAAATAGGGACGATCCTAAGCTCCTTTTAATGTATTTGTACTAAACAAATTAAAAAGCAATAACTTCTCTTAATTATTATTTTTTAAGAAATGCATACTAAAGAATGACATAGCATAAAAAGGAAATATATTTGAAACAATATAAATTCAAAAAAACATAAAAATAAACATAACACGAGAAACCATTACACATACAAAGCTTTCACGTTTTATATTCTTTTGACCGGCTAACAACTAGCGTATATGTCAGTGTAGGCAGTATTAAAGCAAACATTTTGAATAGACTAATTCTAAATCTTTAAAAAAAATATATACAGACTGATGTACTCACACACATGACACTCACACACATGACATGTTGTAATTTGTTTAAATTGAAAAAAAAAAATTTCAAAACTCGATCAGGCTAGAAATGAGTATCCAATGTTTGTATTATGTGTTTATATATATATATATATATATATATATATATATATATATATATATATATATATATATATATATATATATATATATATATATATATATATATATATATATATATATATATATATATATATATATATATATATATATATATATATATATATATATATATATATATATATATATATATATATATATATATATATATATATATATATATATATGTATATGTATATGTATATATGTATATGTATATATATATATATATATATATATAATATATATATATATATATATATATATATATATATATATATATATATATATATATATATATATATATATATATATATATATATATATATATATATATATATATATATATATATATATATATATATATATATATATATATATATATATATATGTATATATATATAGGGGGGGGCAGAATTTTTTTTTTTGCGGGGTGGGTGGCCTTTTATTTTCTAGTTCCGCCACTGTGGCTGGGCATAGTGCTGACCACAATATCCATTCATAGTAGAGGTCACAGAAACAGGTAACTCTACTTCACTAGCCTCATGTACCGTCAGGTTCAAAAAGGAAACTTTACTTACTTTTAGAGCATGGGTCTCCAAACTTTTCAGCCCGAGGGCCGCATTAACTATCCAATATTAGTTCGGGGGCCAGAGTTTCTTCCATGCATCTCTTAGGGGTGGCGGTATCCCCGTACCCCCCCCCTAACTAAATATAATTAATATTGAAATATATACATATTTTAAATGCACCTCCCCCCCCCCCTACCCTGGAGAAAAAGTCTGAAAGAAACATTGTCGGGGGCCAACAACACACTCGAGGTCCAAGTATGTTCTCCTTGGGCAAACACAAAAACCCACCCGCCATTTTTTGAACTTCTCTCTAAGGAGGTCATTTGCTTGCTATTCAATGACCTCCATCTGCAGTTAATCTTGGCAACTGGTTACATTTGCTTCAAATGGGTTTTGAAACAGTCTCACTTTTGCCTTTGAATCCTAGTCAGAAAACCGCTACTGAAACTGCAGCTGGAGGTCTTGTTAGCATTTTTCACTATTTGAGTCACAATGTTTTCATCAATGTCTGCAACACGGAGGGCAATGGTATTTGCACCCAAAGCTACATTTTCAAATTGTTTTGATTTTTCTGGGCAAAGCTCCTCAGCCATTTCTAACAAACGTTTTTTTTCGTGAATAAAAAGATCTCCGCGGGCCGGATTAGAGGACCTCGCGGGCCGCATCCGGCCCGCGGGCCGTAGTTTGGAGACCCCTGTTTTAGAGTAATATTTTAATTACATGGGATGGGGGTTATTAAGAAGGGTGTAATTGGTCACAAGATTGATGGCTGGGGTGATCTAGATGGAGCAGTGTGCTTGTAAAACAAAATGATTGGTTAAGCCTGTTCTAGAATAGAAGAGAAGCGTCCGATTGTGGATGGCAAGTAAAAGTAAAAGTCCCTAGGGGGGGGGGGGGGGAGGAGTAAAAGCTATTTTCAATTTTGTGTTCTAGAATCTTCGGCAGAAATTTATGATTTGTAATTTTGTAATCTGTCAGTCTCCGCAAATCTTCGGCGGAAATTCAAATTGTTTTATTTTGTAATTGGCTAGTTTTCCGGAAATCTTCGTCGGAATTTAAAATATTGTTTTATGTTTTATTCGGCCAGTCTCCGGAAATTTTCGTCGGAAATTTAATATATTGTTTTATATTTTATTCGGCCAGTCTCCAGAAATCTTCGGTGGAAGTTTAAATTATTTTATATTTTATTCGGCCAGTCTCCGGAAATCTTCGGCGGAAGTTTAAATTATTTTATATTTTATTCGACCAGTCTCCGGAAATCTTCGGCGAGAATTCCTTCAGTGCGCTGGTCGGTCCGGACAACTATTACCTGCCCTACGAGGTCAAAGTTCAAGCAGTGAATGAGATGGGCGTTGGCCCAAACTCCACCATCAGCATCGTGTACTCAGCAGACGAGAGTAAGACACTGTTTGCTCTGTTGGATTAGCCGTACCATAAAGTCAGTTTCTGGCTATTAATGAATACTTATCATACGAGAGTAAGATACTTTGGGTTCTGTTGGATTAGCCGTACCATAAAGTCCTTTTCTGGCTATTAATGTGTACTCATTAGACGAGAGTAAAACACCTTGGGTTCTGTTGGATTAGCCGTACCATAAAGTCATTTTCTAGTTATTGATATAACACATGAAGGTGTTATTGAAGCTGTGATTTATTTATTTTTTTTTTTTTTTTTTTTTTTTGCTAATTTTTTATAAAAACGAACTGAAATCCTAGGCCTTGTTTTAACCCTACGAGGCGGCGTGGTAGGTTGGTAGAGCACTCCACTGCTGGCCCGAAGGTTTCGAGTTTGGATCTTGGCCCGGATTCGAGACTGCAGGACGTCATTGAGTCCACCCAGCTCAAATGGGTACCTGACTCACGTGAAGTATAGTAAAGGTGGCTGGGCATAGTGCTGACCAAACCATCCCTTCACATGCTAAGGTCAAGAAACATTAACTCTACTTCACCGGCCCTATTGATCTGAAAGAGGAACTTAAGTTACTTAAACTCTAGGTTTTGTTTAGCTCTAATCACAACCTTTTATGTTTAAATATTAGTATTGGGAAAATATTTACGGTTAGGGCTAGGACGATAGGTCTTTGGTAAAGATAAAACAACCATTTATATAACAAGGTAAGGATATTAGTCAAGTGTTGGTTAAAGAAAGGCTTAGAGTTACATTATGTTTAGACATGACTAACCCTAGTCCTAACTGTGACTCAAGACACGGTATAACCTGCTCATATCCCTGGGTCTTGTCCAGACCTTTTTATTAATCCATAACCTAACCTTACCTGAAATATTTAAATACCAAAACCTATACACGATAAGGCAGTTCTATCAGCATTTGTATTTCTTGCCCGGCAATTCTAAGAAAATGAAAAACGAATTATTACGAGTGGCATTCAGACAAAAATTGCTCTAAAATATCTGAAGTTACTAATTCATCCTTAGAACCAATATAAAATTAGTTGTAATCGTATGCAGTTTCAAAGATAAGCTAAAAATAGACCTCTTTCACGTGACTTAGAGACTGAAAGTGGTCTGGCACCCTTTAATCATGGCCGTCATGTGATTTCAGTTCCGACCAACATCTCCCCCACCTTCGTGTCAGCCAGCGCCATCAACAGCACCGCGGGAGTCGTGGAGTGGGTGCCGGTACCCGATACTAGAGAGGCGGCAAAAGGAAAAGTATTTTGGGTATCAGGTACGTTGTGAGAACAGTGCATTGATGGATTTAGATAAGGGGTGGGGGTGGGGGTCATGGTGGACTACCCCCTACCCAAACCAACCTCATCACCCTTCCAAGTTTTCTAATTTTATATATATGTATATATATATATATATATATATATATATATATATATATATATATATATATATATATATATATATATATATAATTTATATATATACATATATATTATTTATATATTTATATTATATATATATATATATATATATATATATATATATATATATATATATAAAGTATAAATATATGTATATGTGTGTATGCGTGTGTAAGTGCGTGTTTTGAGTGTATGTGCGTGTCTGTCTGTCTGTGTCCGCGCGTGTGCGTGCGTGAGTATGTACGTGTGTGAGCATGAGAGTATGTGTGCACTTGCTGCCCTTGCAGCTCATATATGTTAAGAGGTTGTTGTGTTTTTCTGTCGTTCCCACTGGCATTCATTGACACGGCACTACAAGATATCCATTTCACTGTCCGCAACAATGACGTTACCAGTGGGGTTTTTTTTTTCAGATCTTTTTTAGGCATTTGATATTTTCGGGAGGGGGGGGGGGGGCACTGGTAAAAGTATATATGTTCTATATAAATTCCATTTCGTTCGGGGAGGGGTGGGGGGGCAGGCTGTAGACTTTCTTCGGGGGGTGGGGGGGAGCTCCGCCCCTACCCCCAAGAGATGCTCTGGAAGAAACACGTCATTTTAACCCTTGGACCTCCGTGGCACGTTCACTGATACCCTTCAACCTCCAATCAAAACTTCTTTTTTTTACTCTGGGTTCGTTTTTTGCTTGATGATAGACGTGGTAGGGGCGGGGGTGGCGGGGTGTATTTCGCGGGATACAAAGTACTCTCTCTTATCTTGTCGTCACCTTCTGTCACATCGCGACCTTACCTTGACCTTCACAATACCGGTCAATAAATGCACCCCCCCCCCCCTCTTCCTTGTTTGACTTCAAGTGTCATATGATGACCTTGCCTTACCGTCACAAAAACGGGGATTTTTGACACCAACGCCATATTTACGACTGCACTCTACCCCCTGTTTGTTTATTTTTAAAAAATGGTATCGCGGTCTAATTTTCCTGGCCCCAGATATTGTATGGAAAATTTTGACGGTACAAAAACTCCAGTCAATACCCCGGCAACAGAGGTATTCTAGTTGTGTAGGAGGCAAACATAGGACCAGATGACGATCAAATGGTCTCTTCTCTTTAACTGTTCGGACGTATTGCAATTGGTGTGATTTGGCAACAACAATCAAGTCATGAAAGTTTAAAAACTAAAATAATAAAAAAATAAAAAATAAAATAATAAAAAAATAATCTCATATTGAATGCCTAGACAAAGGTATAATTTAAGGTATATATTTAATCTAGATCTATAACCGATCCATAAATTAATTTGTAAATTGTGTGTGTCCCTCACTCAATTTCTATATATATATATATATATATATATATATATATATATATATATATATATATATATATATATATATATATATATATATATATATATATATATATATGTATATATATATATATATATATATATATATATATATATATATATATATATATATATATATATATATACAATACATTCGCTATACATTTAGAAATATTCTGGAATAAGTCTGAAACCCCTTGCGACTCAGCGGACTAATCGATAAAAAAATCAAATATACTTTTCTCTAGAACTTTAACATCAAAACAAACTAAAAACTAGTTTACATAATTTTATGGGGAATAAAATAGAAATAGAAATTGATATAATAAAGTAATACAAAACTGTTCTCCAGAAAGTTTATGTTATCTTGAAATGAAATATTTACTAATTCAATTTTTGCAACAACCATTACATTGTTCACTAATTAAATTGATATATTACTATATAAACTACCATTGATGTATTTCTAGGTGAACTAATGATAATTTATAATAGTAAGTGAACTGATATTACTGAGTGAACTACTGTTTACAAACATGCAATTGATGTGTCACTAAGTGAACTGGGAAGGCGTGGCCTAGCGATGGAGCGCTAGACTGCTAACCCGGATAGCTCGAGTTTAAATCCGGGTTCAAGTGAGTGAAACGTCCCTGAGTCCGCCCAGCTCTGATGGGTACCTAAACCCACGTTAGGGAAAATTAAAGGCTGATGGCAAGGTGCTGACCACATTATCCCTTCATATCCCGAGATCAAGAATCATGTAATCAACTTCATCTGCCTAATGGATCGCTACGTCTAAAGAGTAATCTTTACTAAATCCAGCCATCTCTTCGGAGGGGGCTCTTGTCGTCGTCGTCCCCCTTCACTCTCCCCCCCCCCCCCAACCTTTGAATAAAGTCTACTGCCCCCAGAACGAAAAGTAATTAATATACAAAATACTTTTTAACAGTTTCCGTACCCCCCCCCCCAAGAAAATGTATTCTGCCCCCCCCCCCCCCTCACGAAAATATCAAGTGCCCCCCCCCCCCCACCTTCGGAGGAAATAAGCCTGAAAGAAACTCTGCTTTTATCACCTAGGTGAACTACTGGCAGGAAGACACCAAGTGCCTGGGTAGATACGAGGGCGACGCCAACTCCAACAACTTTTACGGCGACGTGTCCAGCGGCATGTTGGTCGGCCTGGACTTCTCTGGCGACTACTGCGTCAACATCCAGTTCCTCAACCACGCTGGCATGGGCCCCAAGACCGATAACTATTACCTGGGGATGAATGATGCGCGTGAGTTATATCCCCTTTTTTAAGTTTTTCTTTGATCTGTCTTTTTTTTTAATGTTACAGAAAATCTAAATTATATTCTTTCTATAACGCATCACTGCAGGACGTTTAATAAAGATAGTAAGAGGTAGCATTGAGGTCAGGGTTTCCCAAAACAGAGTTTCTACTAGGCTTCTCTTAGAGGGGGGGGGGGCGAAATGGAATTTATGTAAACCAGAGTTTCTTCAAAGCATCTCTTCGGAGGGGGGGGGGGGCGTAACCCCACCCCCCCCCCCCCACCTCACCCCGAACGAAATGGAGTTTACATAGGAAATATATACTTTTATACTTTGTCGTAGTCGTCGTCGTCCCCCCCAAAATTCAAGTGTCCTGGAAGAAACACTGATGTAGACCGGAGAAAATAGTCTGAAAGAAACTATTCCCAAACTCGGAAGCTGGGGAGGCTCAGACTAGAGTTAGGGGAGAGTTTTAATTTAAAATGTGATTCATTTTTACACATTTTTATGAGATGGGCATACACCGGGGGGGGGAACAGAATAGACGAATAGAAGGTTGTGCTTTACAGCTTTTTAACAAAGAACATGCAGTCTTTTACACGTATGTTTAAAATTATGAACTTTGAGTAAAATATATGAGTAAGGAAAATTACGACTAAAACATAAGTTACGAAAGTAGGCCTATATATACAGTTTTTATAAAGCAACCACTACAATATCAACTACATAATTGAGTAGGCTAGAAAAATTGTCATGTAATTATTTTACACTGTCTTATTTTTAAAATCAAAATTTTAATTGCTTACATTTTACACTTATCCAGGGGAGACAACCTATTACTATGTTACTCTTGTATCACAAAGAAATTAAATAATGATAGATTTGTAAATAAAATTGGTATCATTGCTTTCATTCGATTTAAATAAATTGTTTTGAATTATTATATGATTGATTTTTTATACTTTATATGATTTAATTTTGTAGTTTGCTTAAAATCCATATGCAAAACGAGTAGCTATTATTTATTTTTTTAGTTTTAAATCTGAGAAACAACGTTTGACAGTGTTGTTTCGAGGGAGCTAAGCGAGTTGATATTAATTGTCTTTCAAATAAATCTCACTTCCAAACTAAAAAGAAAAATGATTAAACCGGGAGTGATCTCCCTTAAACTTTCTCGAATATTCTTATATAACACTACGGTGAATGTCAAGTCGGCATATAGACATGACTTTTAATCTCTTAAACTTTTTAAAATAGAATAAAATCTCGTAGAAGAAAAGAATTGCGCACCTAGCGAACTCCAAGCAAAATGTGTATAAAAGTGCGGAATATTATTAGTACTTTATAAATTCTCATGCGTTTTTTGAGAAATCGGAAAAAAGGAAAATTACTACTTGCGGTCAACGGAAAATTTGTTAGAAGGCAGAGAATTAGATCTTTTACTTACATGTGAAATTTCATTTATCTATCTGAAATAGTACTCAAGTTATAGGCCTTTGAAAAATTGAAAGTAGAAAAAGTTCCACTTCCGGTTATCAGAAATCGCTCAAAAGTTTATATGGATCTACGATTGTGATATAATACTTATATATGAAATTTCATCAACCTAGCTGTAACGGTACTCAAGTTATCGTGTATACAGACACACACACACTCACACACACACACACATACACACACACACAGACATACGGACAAGATTGCAAAACTATGTTTTTCCAACTCAGGAAGGTGTAAAACGTAGAGATTTGCAAAAATCTCGATTTTTTTTCTTTTTTTGCACGATTTCAAGACTTTCTATACTTCGTATATACGTGAAAGTAAAAAAGGAAAAAAGAAAAAAAAAAAGGTCTCTTACAAACGCCTAAGAAGCGAAGAGTCTAGAATTCTTCATGAGTAGTCGAAAAGTGGCGCTATAAAACCATCAACACTAGCTAACATAATGGTAAATACTAAATGGAAAAGAGAAAAACTGTTGCTGTGTTTAGATCTTGGTATATACCAGGGGTCGGCAAACAGTGTTTCTCCCAGATTTGTTTCTCCTGGGGGGTGGGGGCAATTTGATATTTTCGGGGGAGGGGGGTGGTCTACATTTTTTTCGGGGGGGGGGGGGGCGGTCTACATTTTTTCGGGGGGGGGGGGCGGTCTACATTTTTTCGGGGGGGGGGGGCGGACACTGGTAAAAGTATATGTTTTCTATATAAATTCCATCTCGTTCGGGGAGGGGGGGGGGGCGGTAGACTTTCTTCAGGAAGCGGCTCGCCAGTTCCATAATAATTATATTATTTTATTTTCATAACTCATAAAAATGTTAAACTGTAAATACAACTTTAAACAAGCTAAAAACGCTAGGAATAGATCTAGGTGGCGTAGAGCGTATACAGACTGCCGGCAACTGCTTTTGATTTGAGTGATATAGTTTTTTAGATATTAGCTTCTAAATTGGCTAGGGATCAGTGGCGTAGGCAGGGAGGGTCATAACCCCCCCCCCCCCCCCCCCCATAGACCCCTCGGTTTATATATAAAAAGTTTGAGGGGGGTGCAAATCGAAAGTTTGGGGGGGGGGGTGCAAATCGAAACTTTGTCCCCGGGTAAAAAATTGGACCCCCCCCCCCCTTGAGACGATCCTGGCTGCGCCACTGCTAGGGATAGTGCTATAGTTATATACCTTTATTTTATTATCCTAGCAGACCTAGATATAAAATACGGTAATATGTTTTGCGCGAAACATACAAATGGTTTTATATGAATAAATATTATTTCATACTTAAACCCATTTATTTTAAATTCATTTACCTAATCCCAATCAAATACCATATTATTTACAAGAAATGTTAGTGAAAAGGGGTCGGCGTGGTCGAGTCGGTTCGTACCCTCTGGCAGAAGAGGCTCGTTAGCTGGGGACAACCACTCTTCTAGGACAGACAACTCCAAAATTAAACAACTGCTGCCTTGTAGTTTGTTCTTGGTTAGACAAAGGCCATGGAAGCAAATCCAAAAAGAAAAGCAGGCTGAAATCGGAGTCAATGGCCTCAATGGCGCACAACCAGTTGACACGTATCCTTAATTGTGTTGGAGGGGGTCCCTTCCAACACTAAAATTAAGAACGAAGAAGAAGTTAGTGGCTCTTTAAAAACTGGGAGATTTTGTAAATTGTAGCTTCTGGCTCTTCCGTCTCAAAAGGTTGCCGACCCCTGGTATATACTTCACATTATCACCCCTTGAATCTAGATTTGCTGATATACTGATCCAAAATCGTCCTCCGCAATTAATTTTTCTATAACTAAAATACGTGTGGATAACATTTAAGGTGACAAAGAGAGACTGCTTTATAATGACGTGAGAATGATATACTAATACTGGCGTGAGATTGATATTACGTATTAACGTGATATTGATAAACTAGTATTAACGTGATATTGATAGACTAGTATTACTTGATATTAATAGACTAATAATAAAGTGATATTAATAGACTAATAATAAAGTGATATTAATAGACTAATAATAAAGTGATATTAATAGACTAATAATAAAGTGATATTAATAGACTAATAATAAAGTGATATTAATAGACTAGTATTAACGTGATATTGATAGACTTGTACTAACTAGTCAATAGTGACGTGACTGTGGTGCACAAATCCGCTGAACAGTCAAATCGAGTCAGCATACAGCCACAAAAATCACTGACGTAGCTTATCGACCATAATCTACGTACATCTTTTCTTTTCAAAACTTAAACATTTGTCGCAAATGCAAACCCGACTCAACATTATATTGATTTTTTACTTCGAACTTGATCAAATGCGAAAGTAATTTTAATTTTTTTTTTTAATTTGACCTTGAACAAACGTGAACTTAACTTTGAGTTTGACCTTGAACTCTGGCCTGTCTACAGCACCGAGCCAGTACCCGGAGTGGGTGACGGTGATGTCACACGGCAACGACAGCGTCCGGTTGATGTGGCGGGGCATCTCCACTTTGTTTGGTGAGGATCCGTTGCTAGGCTACAAGGTGAGAGGTCACGTGATTACCGTCATTGCAGGGGGTGGGGGTGGGGACAGTCATGTGACCGGGAGACTAGTCATGTGACTACCGTCATTGCAGGGGGGTGGGGGTGGGGGACAGTCATGTGACCGTGAGACTAGTCATGTGACTACCGTCATTGCAGGGCTGGGGTGGGTATGGGGACAGTCATGTGACCGGGAGACTAGTCATGTGACTACCGTCATTGAAACCTAGGAGCCATTGGTCAGATGTTTTCCCTAACGTTTGGGATGATCTACTGACTTGGGTTCGAATTTGAGACTTTCGGGTTAGCAGCCTAGCGCTTAGAACCACACCGTCCCTTAGTTTTAACATAGGTTATGCTTATATTGTCTATGATATTGCCTACTAGAACCTAGGATCAGATGAAGTAGAGTTCATATGTTTCTTGATCTGTTACTTTCCCTAACGTGACTTGGACTTCGAACCCGAGACTTTCGTTTTAGCAGCCTAACGCTCTAACATTTAGGCCATAGTTTAAACATAGTTTATGCTTATATTGTCTACCATACGTTTTGATAACGGTTTCACGATCAAAACCTGTGGTAGACAATATAAGCATAAATATCACAACAAAGTTACCCATTGAACAGATGAAGTAGAGTTCACCTATTTCTGTGATCTCGGCATATGAAAGGGTTGTGTTGTCAATCCAACAATCATCACGCATAAAATATAATTGTTTTTGTTATTTTAAGAAATATCGATAATTCTATGCTAAAACTCAAGCATTACATTATTTTTAATATTTGAATAGTTATTTGAGTTTATATATTGTAACCAGAAGCGTACGTTGCGTGTGTGTGTGTGTGTTTGTGTGTGGTTGTGTGTGTGTGTGTGTGTGTGTGTGTGTGCGTGCGTGCTCGTGTGCGTATACGCGTGTGTGTGTGTGTAGAACGTTTAGCTCCAGTCAACTAAAGTCGCTACGACCTTGCATGTGACTGACTTAAGATATGACTTGAATCCCAAACACCCCCAACATGACTGTTGCCCTAATTTCCAAACTCCCAGGCGTGGTACTGGAACATCCAAGAGGACATCAGGTCTGCCAAGGTCGAAACGTTTCCTAAAATAACCACCGGCGTCATACGCGGGCTGGAGAAAGACGTCATCTACCGACTGCGCATGCTCGGGTACAGCAATGGCGGCGACGGCAAGAAAAGCCAAGATGTGTTCTTTACCCTAGGCAAGTTGTGTTATCATTAGGACCTGGTAGCCTTTTCAGTAACAGACGTAGTGCTTACCTATTCCGTGACCTAGTTCTATGTCAATACTATGTCCAGCCGCTTTTACTTTCACTATCCTGAGTCAGGAAAGAAGAGTTACCCTTTTGGACTTAGCGACCTCAGAGGCGTAGCGACCCATTCCGGCGCCCGGGGCCACTATCAAACTTGCGCCCCCCCCCCTTCATTTATATACTTACTCATTTTGGCTAAAAGGCTCACACCCCCTAGTTGTTTAATTATTCATAGTGGCAGACCCTCCCTCCCCCCCCCCAAGTCATTGTCCCTTAACGGTTCTTATGTAGGTGTCGAACAAGTGATGTAGAAAACAATTAAGTCCGTAAACATAAGTAACAGTCTATTTACATTTTTTCCTACCCGTTTCGGCGCCCCATTAGGGTTGGCGCCCATGGCGTCCGCCACACCCGCCCTCCCCTAGCTACGCCTCTGAGTGGCCCTTGGAAAAAAGAAGTAATGCTCTGTGACATCGGTCTATGTCAATAGTATGCCCAGCCGGCTTTACTTTCCCTAACCAGAGTCGGGTACCCATACAAGCTGGGTAGACTCAATGGACCCATACGGACTCGAACCCGTGATTCTAAATCTACATGGTGGTAGGATGCATGGAGGGAAATGAAATGTAACCTAGTGTATAAGTTGTTTTACATAAGAACAACAAAAAAAATAATAATTTTCGTAAAAGCTGTGGATTTTATTGGCGAGTGGGGTAGTGAGAGAATTCAAACTTACTTAAACTGTAGATGACATAGAAAGGTTAACTATTCTATAATGACGTATTATGAAAGGGAAGGTGAGTAGTAAAAATTGCATACAATTTCGCCACATCACACATAGATAAAAGCGTAAGTGTCGATGGGTAGGATATGTTGTCATGTTTCTGATGCACATACATGAGTTCGCGCAGCATATGTGTATCTGACTCAATGTTGAACATATCGCTGGCCACATAGTCCATTCACGCATATTCTGGTTTTTATTTTATTTTTGCTATAGAGATAGTTGAGAGAAATGTAACTGGTCGACAATCATAAGGCAGACAGCCTTTTATCTTGTCGGCCTTTGTCTTGTCGGCCTTTTAGCAGTCGGCCTTTTGTCTTGTCGGCTTTTTGACTTGTCGGCCTTTTGGATGTCGGCTTTTCAGCAGTCGGCCTTTCAGAAGCGTAGCGACCCTTCCCGGCGCCCGGGGACAAACACTTTTCGATTTGCACCCCCCCTCGAGATTTCGATTTGCACCCCCCCCCCACCCACCCACCACCCCTCAAACTTTCGATTTGCACCCCCCCCCCCCCCCTCGAGATTTCGATTTGCACCCCCCCCCCCTCAAACTTTCAATTTGCACCCCCCCCCCTCGAGATTTCGATTTGCATCCCCCCCCCCCTCAAACTTTCCATTTGCACCCCCCCTCAACCTTTCAATTTATTTTTCCAACCCATTTTGGCGCCCCATAAGGTCGGCGCCCGGGGACATATGTCCCCCCCCCCCCCGCCCCCCCCCCCCCCCCTCTCGCTACGCTACTGCGGCCTTTTGTTTTGTTGGCCTTTTATCTTGTCGGCCTTTTGTCCATGTCGGCCTTTGTCCGGATCCTTTTTAAAGGAAATTTTTCCCATTACTATTAGAATATGAAAGTTTTGTACCTACAATTTTCAAACAATGTATACGTCGGTATGTGTTTGTTTAGAAAACTCGTTAAATTTTTTTTTAAATGAAACTTTGTTTTTAATTTTAGGCGGTCAAGTCCCGTATGACCCTCAAACCACAGAGGTCATGAACTTTGCCCCGTCAATGATGACGTCATCGCCATGGTTACTGCTTCTATTTTCAGTTATTGGAGTTTCTGTATCAGAAATTCGTCGATAACTGTTAGATGTTGATTATACCCTGCATTGTATGTTATAAATTGTGTAATTGATGTGAATATGTTTATGAGGACATTTCTTGAAACTCATTTACCAATCCTATGTATGTTTCTCGATATCATAAGTTTTTTAGCATCATGCATTGTTATTTTCTGGTATTACCATTTGCTGTATCACCATCTATACTCTTTGTTGTGTATCACTTTCTCTCTCTCTCTCTCTCTCTCTCTCTCTCTCTCTCTCTATATATATATATATATATATATATATATATATATATATATATATATATATATATATATATATATATGTATATATATATATATATATATATATATATATATATATATATATATAATATATGCGTGTGTGTGTCTATATGTATATATATATATGTATATATATATATATATATATATATGTATGTATATGTCGACATCCACTTTTATCACCATCAGCGTGTAACACCCACTATGTGCATCATCATCAATGTGTATTTTCATCCATTTGTATCACCATTTGTCCTAATCACCATTTACATGTATCACCATCTACCTGTTTTAAAATGTAAATAACGTCCCCATCACATGACCAAACTACCCACAATTGTGATATAAATAGAACTGCCAGATCATGTGATACGTGCGTCTTGCCTACTTGCCAGATATTCGGTTTTAATATCTGGTTTTATTGCCAAACTTAAACTCAAAGCTAGCAGCGAAAGAAAAAAAGTTGATAAAATTACAAAAGCAATTATCTGGACTCGGCTTGAAATGGTTTGAAAAAAATGCATCAACAGTTAAATAATTTTAGGGACGTTCAGTTGTATTTACATGATGTTTGTAGAGTTCGATGTTGACCTGTTAGAATTACAGCATTAAACTCACTGCTAGCGATGTGGCATTGAGTGCTAGTTTAGAGGCTATGTCGTCAGCTGTAGTGTTGTGGAAGAACTGCTAAGAAATCAAGAGTACAGGAACTTGCTAGTTCAGTATGGTAGAAGCTATACTATCAGCTGTACGTAATGAAGGGCTCTGGGACTTGCTAGTTCAGTGTGGTAGAAACCAAAACAATAGTTGTAGTTTTATTCGAAGGACCACCGATTAGCATGGATAATCAAGAGTACAGGGACTTCCTAGTTTAGTGTGGTAGAAGCTATTTCACCAACTATAGTGTTGAAAGAAGGACTACTAAGCAGCGTGGATAATCGAGAGTACAGGGATTTGCTTGTTCAGTCTGATAGAAACTATTTCACCAGCTATAGTGTTGAAGGAAGGACTACTAAGTAGCGTGGATAATCGAGAGTACTGGGAATTGCTCATCTGGACATGTGTGGTACTATTGTTGGAGCATTAGAAACGGCCACAGATATTTATTGATGGTTGAAATAAATCTACACATAAGATTAATTATAAACCACATTTAACTACTTTCAGTAATTTAATTTTGTATGTGTATATACACACACATATATATATATATATATATATATATATATATATATATATATATATATATATATATAGGCCTATATATATATAGGCCTATATATATATATATATATATATATATATATATATATATATATATATATATATATATATATATCTATATATATAAAGCAAAGTGGTCAAGTGCCCGATAGGGCACTTCCCGGCGCCGCAGGCGCGTCAAATTTGGCACGATGGTGCCTTCGGGCGATAGAACACGAAGGCCGGTGACGGTTGGCCGAAAAGTCTACGGAGAAGGGGTCAAAACTGACCTCGACTGACCGGCGCCTTATATGGGCTATATTACGAAAAAAAATTTCCTCCGACGACCCCCCTTGAAATTTTGTGAGGTGGTAGGAGAACACCTTGGGGTGTCACAAAAAACTCGCCACGTCCGGGAAAAATCGGGAAATGGGTCAAAACTGACCAGTCGTATTTCCCTATATAATCTTTGTATTTTATGGGAAAAACAGAGGGTCATTTCAAAACGGATTTTAGGGCACTTACCCTGTTTACATCTGGCTAATTTTTGGCATGCGTATAGGTAAATGGCTTGGCCGTAGGGCGGACCTGTCGGTTTGACTCAAAGCACTCGACGAGGGCTAAAAAGTGACCGCGAGTGAAATTCTCTTCATATGAGCTCTATTACGAAAAAAAATTTCCTCCGACGACCCCCCTTGATATTTTGTGAGGTGGTAGGAGAACGCCTTGGGGTGTCACAAAAAACTCGCCATGTCCGGGAAAAATCGGGAAATGGGTCAAAACTGACCAGTCGTATTTCCCTATATAATCTTTGTATTTTATGGGAAAAACGGAGGGTCATTTCAAAACGGATTTTAGGGCACTTACCCTGTTTACATCTGGCTAATTTTTGGCATGTTTATAGGAAAATGGCTTGACCGTAGGGCAGACCTGTCGGTCTCACTCAAAGCCCTCGACGAGGGCTAAAAAGTGACCGCGAGTGAAATTCTCTTTATATGAGCTCTATTACGAAAAAAAATTTCCTCCGACGACCCCCCTTGATATTTTGTGAGGTGGTAGAAGAACACCTAGGGTTGTCACAAAAAACTCGGCATATCTGGGAAAACTTCGTAAAGCGGTCAAAACTGACCAGTTGTATTTCCCTATATAATCTTTGTATTTTATGGGAAAAACAGAGGGTCATTTCAACGCAGACTTTAGGGTACTTAAGCTCAGTATAGCTGGCTAATTTTTTGCATGCTCATAGGTCAATGGCTTGACCTTTAGGGAAAACTGTCGGTTACACTCAAAGCCCTCGACGAGGGCTAAAAAGTGACCGCGAGTGAAATTCTCTTTATATGAGCTCTATTACGAAAAAAAATTTCCTCCGACGACCCCCCTTGATATTTTGTGAGGTGGTAGAAGAACACCTAGGGGTGTCACAAAAAACTCGGCATATCTGGGAAAACTTCGTAAAGCGGTCAAAACTGACCAGTTGTATTTCCCTATATAATCTTTGTATTTTATGGGAAAAACAGAGGGTCATTTCAACGCAGTCTTTAGGGTACTTAATCTCAGTATAGCTGGCTAATTTTTTGCATGCTCCTAGGTCAATGGCTTGACCTTTAGGGAAAACTGTCGGTTACACTCAAAGCCCTCGACGAGGGCTAAAAAGTGACCGCGAGTGAAATTCTCTTTATATGAGCTCTATTACGAAAAAAAATTTCCTCCGACGACCCCCCTTGATATTTTGTGAGGTGGTAGAAGAACACCTAGGGGTGTCACAAAAAACTCGGCATATCTGGGAAAACTTCGTAAAGCGGTCAAAACTGACCAGTTGTATTTCCCTATATAATCTTTGTATTTTATGGGAAAAACAGAGGGTCATTTCAACGCAGTCTTTAGGGTACTTAAGCTCAGTATAGCTGGCTAATTTTTTGCATGCTCCTAGGTCAATGGCTTGACCTTTAGGGAAAACTGTCGGTTACACTCAAAGCCCTCGACGAGGGCTAAAAAGTGACCGCGAGTAAAATTCTCTTTATATGAGCTCTATTACGAAAAAAAATTTCCTCCGACGACCCCCCTTGATATTTTGTGAGGTGGTAGAAGAACACCTAGGGTTGTCACAAAAAACTCGGCATATCTGGGAAAACTTCGTAAAGCGGTCAAAACTGACCAGTTGTATTTCCCTATATAATCTTTGTATTTTATGGGAAAAACGGAAATTTTAACACAATTTTTAGGTTACTTAATGTCTGTACATCATGCTAAGTTTTTGCATACACTACTATAGATGACTAGGCCGTATGGAAAAACTGTTGGTCAGACTCAAAGCCCTCGACGAGGGCTAAAAGATGATCTTGAGTGAAATTCTCCTTATATGAGATATATATATATATATATATATATATATATATATATATATATATATATATATATAAATAAATTGACGAACGATCCCCTTAATATTATGTGACGTCGTAGACCGACCCTGGAGGGTAACAAAAAAACTTTATTCCCGTCGGAAACAGCCATTATAGTCGTTAAATAAGTTCATATAACGTAATTTCTTATATAAGCAAACAATATAAGTAAACAATGACATACGTCATACGTTCAGTTTTCAAGGGAGGTAACGTTTTTAAAATTATTATTTTTCAAATAATTGTATACTATTTTAAACAGAAACAGAAAATGACGAAGTATAGCATTTGTTTTAGTACAAAATTAAGTTGTTAATTTAGTTAAGTATGTTAATTAAATTAATTAATTAATTTCAAAAGGCAATGTAATATAAACTATGAGATATACTGTTCATGAAACCTGTGTAGTTCTAATTCCATTTTAGTTATACATTGCGTACTTTCCAAAAATTCGCTATGAATCTGCATGTAAATGACTAACAAAAACATTTTTTCTAAAGTTAGCATTACTGTTTAAATTAAACTTATTAAACTTATTAAAGCACTCCACACCCAATCCATCGCTAAATAATTAAGTATTCAAATTCTCAAATGCCTTTTAAAAACCTAAGCGAAGCTAGGCAGTATGCCTAGTATATATATAAATGCATTGCACTGTTCTGAAAAATAAAATATTTATTTTGATACTACACCTTGTTTCTTAACTTGTTCAATGTTTGACCTAAAGTGCTAAGCGTGGATGGGGGCTTAAATTTAGTGTGAATCTAACTGAGAGATCACAAACGGGTAGGAAAGTGTTGTGTAAAGCAATGTTCTATAACGCTACCTTAGATTTCCTCTATAACTTTTTTACTTTCTCGTATATACGAAGTATAGAGAAAGTCTTGTAATCGTGCAAAAAAAAAAAAAATCGAGATTTTTGCAAATCTCGACGTTTTGCATCTCACTGATACGGAAAAACATAATTTTGCAATCTTGTCCGTATGTCTGTGTGTCTGTGTGTGTGTGTCTGTGTGTGTGTGTCCGTGTGTAAACACGATAACTTGAGTACCGTTACAGCTAGGTTGATGAAATTTCATATATAAGTATTTTATCAAAATCGTAGATCCGTATCAACTTTTGAGCGATTTCCGACAACCGGAAGTGGTACTTTTTCTACTTTGAATTTTTCAAAAGCCTATAACTTGAGTACTATTTCAGATAGATAAATGAAATTTCATACGTAAGTAAAAGATCTAATTCTCTACCTTTATTTAAATTTTGAGTCATTTCCGTTGACTGGAAGTAGTACTTTACGCTACTTCCGATTTCTCAAAAAACTAATGTGAATTTTAAAAGTAATAATAATATTGCGCACTATTATGCGCTTTTTTATTTCGCGTTCACTTGGTGTGCAATTAATTTGTCTACGAGATTTTATTCTATTTTTAAAACTTTAAGTATTTAAAATGGATTAAAAATCATGTCTATAGCCCGAGTTCCCATCCCCTGTTATTTTATATAAGAATATTCGAGAAAGTTTAGGGGAGATCACTCCCGGTTTATTTTCCACTTGTTCTGGTATCTGTACTCTGTAATGTCAAATAAGTTGTAACATTTGAGATTGACGCTGTCTTTTAACACAATACCTGGCGCTGCTTTTGCTCTTTTAGAATATTTAACACGCGTCTTTTTTTTCTTTTTTTTTTTTAATTCATGTGATTTCCATTTTTTTACCCCATTTGGTAGTTGGTTATATAATAACATCGGGGGAAGTTGTGACTTAAACATATGATGTGTACAAAGACGCATTTTGTTTTACATATTAATTTTTAATTGAATTATACGCTATCTTCATCTATTCCGTTCAAGGGACAGATGAAGTATAGTTCATCTGTTTCAGAGACCTCGGCATTTTAAGGTGTAGTGTGCTCAGCTCTATGCCCAGCCGCTTTTGTTTCCCTAACATGAATTAGGTACCCATTTGAGCTGGGTGGACTCAGGGTCTTTCTACTGACTTGAACCCGGATTCGAACTCAAGGCTTTCATGTTAGCAGTCTAGCACTCTGACATAATTCAGTACAACTTTGTTAAAATTTATGTTTAATTAAAAACTCATTTCCAAGTTTTAGCTGATTTTTATTGCCTATTTTGTAAAACATTTATTCGGACCATCTTTCTCCAATGCGTTTTTTTTTCTCCAGTATTTAAAATTAATGTTATTACTGAATTGCTAAATTTTTAAATATTTTTAAACACTTTGGTGGCTTTAAATGTATGTCTTCTGTATAGCTGTCAGCTGTCAGTGTAACTCTCCTTATTCCCGGTTGATAATTAGCCGCTGACGTCTCCGATTAGCCGTCTTTGTGTCATGTTTTGATTTGTATTTGAACAAGATACGATGAGACCACAAGAGCTAAAGTACACAAAAAAAGTATTGTTGGGTGGGTAGAGAGGTCGTGGAATATAAGCAAAGTCTACATCGATGTCGTCGTTTCTGTGTGGTGGTGGTTGGTGTGGCTGGCTGGAGTACGCCGCGACAGCAGACGGCACCGAGTGGAACAATTAATTAATGCGTTACTAAATAGAGATAGAAGTCACCAAGGGGTCGTCACTCTAATCAACAAAACATAACTCTGGCCCATTGATGTCCCGGGCTATGTAAATTGGATTTTATGTTTTAGTTCTTCGGAAAACGCTAACTTGTGATTTATATTTTATATTGGGACATTTTTAATTGAATTATTTACAAAAGATATAATATTATTTTGATATAAAGAGAGTTTTGTTTTCAAATTGAAGAAACTATTCTGGTAAGTTGAGTATTTTATTTTGAGCAGTGTATTCAAAGAACAAGAGTTTTATTACAAAAACTGTAGGATTTTAAGGCACGTCTATCAGTCTATAATGGTAATAATTTAGACAAATTAATAATAATTATAAAGAATATTTAAAATACTATCACAATAGTTAACAGAAATTAAAAGTTGACATTCGTAAACAGTTTGTGAACAAAGTTAATCTTACACAAATAGAGCTCTAAAAACATTTCAAATACTAATAATTTTAAATGTGTTAACGATAAAAACAATACAGCAAAATAAACTAACCTAACTTTTCATATATCAGTTACATTTATTTTGTTCAATTTATTCAATAACGGTAACAACAGTATGCAAGGAGGCCTTTTTTCACACTTGCCGTTTTTAAAAAAAACCATAATCTCAGCATTTTAATAACAAGCACTTGAGTATTATAGGCACAGCAGTAACATAGCATTAAAAAATAATGTTACATAGCTATAATACAAAATGAGATAGAATGAGAATACAATAGTTGAATGAGAAATGTTGTAATGAGTCAGTTAGGGAGGTCATTAGATAATTGTTGTTTTAGTATAGTTTTGAATTCAATTTAGGATATTGATAGACTTATTTCAATGTGTGCCTATATGCCAAAGCTAATTCATTAGTAAATAAAATACACTCATTAAATGTGTTTTCGGGTTTTATTTCAATAAATACTTATTCAGTCGGTAAAGTATGTACACACGCTGATCCAAGTTCAGCATATCAATTTTCTCCAAACTTTATCAAGAAGTTTGTATAATGTTGCAGCTGTTAGAAATTCTAAGTTTCCCAAATAAATATAAAATTTTTCCAAAGAATATATATATATATATATATATATATATATATATATATATATATATATATATTTATTTATTTATTTATATATATATATATATATATATATATATATATATATATATATATATATATATATATATATATATATATATATATATATTCATACAGAGAATTGTTTTGGTGCTAATTACTGTATCCACTAATCAATTGGGTAACCGGTTGAATCGTTAAATCGAAGACGGAGACTTTAAAATTTAAATCAATACAGTGTGTATGTTTTAATTAATTTTCCATCGTAAAGTTATCTACACTATTATTCAGGGTTTCTTTCAGATAATTTTTCTCTTGGGAAGGGGGGGGGGATGAGTTAAAACTTAAAGTGTTGGCCTATATTTTTAAATAAAATATCTTGACGTCTCCCCATCCCCCCACCCCCACCCTATCCCCCCCCCCCCCCACCCCCCCCCTTCCCAATAGAAGCCTAAAAGAAACGTTGCTGTTATTGCGTAGAAAAGTACCTTACTGTTTACAAAGCACCAACAGGATATTTTTTAAATCGTACAATGAGAGTAGTCTCCCTTCCCAATTCCCCGCTAGTGTGGCGAAGCGAATGGGTTATGAATATCTGAGACGAAAGACAGGGAAAAACTTCAATCTTTGAATTTGTAACGGTGTATGAAAAAAATTGTCTTAATTAAATTTACTAATTAGATATATTTAATTAGCGGAACCGGTTTTTCTTATTCGTCTAAAATATATCAGGTGTTGGTGGAATTGGGGTTTGGAGGAGTGGGTGTTTTATAAGGAGGGGGGGGGGAGGGAGGTATTATTATCTAAGTGTGCTGAGATTTGTATGAGATTTGTATGAGAAATTGAAACTGATAATAAGGTAGTTGGAAACTTTAAAGCAAAGAATTGTTTTCAGACCTGATTGTCCCTGGAGGCAGATGAAGTAGAGTTGAGTTACGGTTAATGTAGCTTATCCATAACAACGTAATTATAGGCACTATATCTGATTTTATTTAACTGCGTTAAGCAAAGACCCCACCCTACTCCTCCGACCCTCCCCCATCCCTTGGGTTGAACGATAGGATAAGTTGGTGTAGTATCAATGGTATGTATATAATACATGACAGTACTAATGGGAGTCTACACTAGTGGCGTAGAAAGATTAGGTTATCTGTCCCCACCCCCTTAGAAAAATATACATGAGAGGTCAAGAAGGGCCAGGTTACCTGTCCCAACCCCTTTAGAAAAATATAACTGTATTTTCAGAATGTAAAAAATCCCCTGGGCTTCCCATGACGATTCCCATTTACTATTTTAACTTTTAACATAAAGTATAATTTACTAGTAGGAATTATTTTTTTTAATCATTAACATGGGAAACAATTGATCATGCTTTCAGTACCAAGCCCTATGATAAATTCATCATAATAAAGGCCTTTGCCGTGCTGTCCATCAAGAACGATAACTCAAGTCAATTATTAAAAGGGAAATAATGCTGTGATAGGGGAGAGAACTACTGCACAAGAAACACAATGCTGGCACTTATTCTGATTTTAACCGTCATTGAACTGAAGATTTTAGCTCAGAACATTGAAAGTGAGTTCAACTGATTTATAGTAAGTCAATTAAATAGAAAAAAAACGAATAGGTTTTTTTTTTTCCTATTCTGTATGACTACACAAAACTTTGATCGGAAATAATTAGAGAGTACAAATATGGGAAAGCAGGCATAAAGTTGAGTCGTGATTGGTCTACAGGTTGTCCGGATGGTTGGTTTGAAGAGGCGGGCCAGTGTTATAATTTTATCTTCAGTCCGGCCTTGACCTACCAGGAGGCGGCCATTTTCTGCCAGAAGGATATGACGTCACTGGTCAGCATCAACTCGCTGGCCGAGCACAATTTTATAAAAACATGGCTGCACACGCATGACCAGAGCAGGTAGGTGGTCTTGTCCAGTTAATCTGTGGCTACCAGGTAAGTAGCCTTGTATTCTGTGGCTACCAGGTAGGTGGTCTTGTATTCTGTGGCTACCTGGCTACCTGGTAGTTGGTCTACTCAGGCTAGGGCTACATGGTAGGTGGTTGAGTCAAGCTGTGGCTACCAGGTAGGTGGTCTAGTCAAGCTAGGGCTACATGGCTACCAGGTAAGTGGTCTTGTGTTATGTGGCTACCTGGTTACCAGGTTGGTAGTCTAGTCAAGCTAGGGCTACATGGCCACCAGGTAGGTGGTCCAGTCAATATGTGGCTACCAGAGGTGGTCCAGTCAATCTGTGGCTACCTGGGAGGTGGTCCAGTCAATATGTGGCTACCAGGGAGGTGGTCCAGTCAATCTGTGGCTACCAAGTAGGTGGTCTAGTCAAGCTAGGGCTACCAGATAGGTGGTTCAGTCGATATGTGGCTAGCAGGCTACCAGGTAGGTGGTCCGGTCAGTCTGTGGCTACCTAGAAGTTGGTCTAGTAATAAAACTAGATTTCTTTGTGCAGTTATCCAAAGGCAACAAAAAAGTACCATTTTGGTGTCAAATTTATCTCTGTACCCAAAACTACCACCATCTTGTTTGTGTCACCACCAACTTGTATTTGTAGTCACCACCTGTATGTGTTAGTAGTTACCACCTGTATGTGTTAGTGGTCACCACCTGTATGTGTTCGTTGTCACCACCTGTATGGGCTAGTAGTCACCAATGTATTAGTAGTCACCGCCTGTATGTGTTAGTAGTCACCGCCTGTATGTTAGTGGTCACCACCTGTGTGTTAGTGGTCACCACCTGTATGTTAGTAGTCACCGCCTGTATGTGTTTGTAGTCACCAATGTGTTAGTAGTCATCACCTGTGTGTGTTAACAGTCACCACCTGTATATGTTAGCAGTCACCACCTGTATGTTAGTACTCACCACCTGTATGTTAGTAGTCACCACCTGTATGTGTTAGTAGTCACCACCTGTATGTGTTAGTAGTCACCACCTGTATGTGTTAGTAGTCACCACCTGTATGTGTTAGTAGTCACCACCTATATGTGTTAGTACTCACCACCTGTATGTGTCACACCCGTCCCACATAGAAACCACCGCTAACATCCCACCCCTTCCCTCACCTGCAGGCAGCTATGGTTCACCAGTGGCTACAGGGATAAGACAGGTAAACTCCTATGGGAGTCGGATGCTAGTGACATCACAGAAATGTTCTTCTCTGATCACGACAGCCCGGATAAGGTGTACGTGGATCCGTGGATGAATTTGGAGTACAATTCTATCGTGTATAAGTATTTTGGTGAGTGATATATGTGTGTGGGTGTGTGGGCCATGTGTGGGGGTGGGGGCAAAGAGCTTAGTGGGTGGGGGTTGTCTGGTCAGTAAGAGAGTGTGTATGAGTGATGCGTGTAAGATTGTTATACACATGTGTGTGTGTCGTATTGGTAATTATTTGGCGTGTGTGTGTATGTGTGTGTGTGTGAGTGTGGTTGGCTACGGCTTAATTAGGGTAGGGATGACAGGGTAGTGTGTGGGTGTGTGTGAGCGATATGTGTAAGATTGTTAGACACATGTGTATGTGTGCCTTATAGGTAATTAGTAGGTGTGTGTGTGTAAGTTTGTGTGTGTAAGTTTGCGTGTGTGTGCGCGTGTGTGTGTGCGTGCGTGTGCGTGCGTGCATGTGTGTAGTGTAGTCTGTGTGAGTGTGTGTGTGTGTGTGTGTGACCATACTGCACCTAGAACGCCAGACTCAATTTAAAACAATGTTATGAAAACTGTTCCTGTCCAACTCCACTAACAGTTTTATCTCCGCTGACAATGCATTAGTATATAAGTTTTCTATTCTAGAGTCCAGCGACGAGTTTCTGTGGTCGTGGAGCCGGCTGATGAAGCCTGGGCCGTTTGTCTGTGAGGTCAGCTTGTCTGACACCTGGAGGATGTACCAGCAGCAGAGGGATTTCTGTGAGTAGATGACATCACATGACAGCAGATGACATCAGATGACAGTAGATGACATCAGATGACAGCAGATGACATTATAAGACACTTGTCATTGGATAAAATATCTGCTTATATCTGCTTACTGTTATATGACAGTAGCAAAAATTTTATGTCATCTACTGACTCGTCTGATAAAGGATGACATTTGGGGACATTCGTTGGCATTAGATGTCTATCAAAAACAAACACTGCCATCTTTAGTTTGTAGTCACAACCTGTCTTGTGTTCTTAGACACATTTCTATGGGTATAGTCATCGCCTGTTTCTGCTTGTAGTCAACACATTTTTGTGCTTGTAGTTACTACATGTTTATGCTTTTAGTCAGCACCTGTCTGCTTGTACCACCTCAGGTTTGTGCTTATAGTCACCACCTATCTGTGTTCCTTGTCACCACATTTCTGTGGTTCCAGTCACCACCAGTTTGCTCTTGTAGTCAATACCTGCCTGCTTGTAGTCACCACCTGTGTTCTTGTAGTCACCACCTGTGTTCTTGCAGTCACTACCTGTCCCCTTGTGTCACCACCTGTCCCCTTGTGTCACCACCTGTCTGCTTGTGTCACCACATGTCTTCTTGTGTCACCACCTGTCTGCTTGTGTCACCACCTGTCCCCTTGTGTCACCACCTGTCCCCTTGTGTCACCACCTGTCTGCTTGTGTCACCACATGTCTTCTTGTGTCACCACCTGTCTGCTTGTGTCACCACCTGTCCCCTTGTGTCACCACCTGTCTGCTTGTGTCACCACATGTCTTCTTGTGTCACCACCTGTCTGCTTGTGTCACCACCTGTGTTCTTGTAGTCAATCAAGGTTTGTAGTCACCACCTGTTTGTGTATTCCCCCAGCCTACGGGGAGAACGTCACCGACCCAGAGAAGTGGGAGACGGGTCCAAACATCACCCACCAGTCTCCCGACACTGTCTTCTTCGAGATCGCCGGGAAGCGGGAAAATGTCGTGCTTGACTGTGTGGCATCCGGGAACCCCCACCCACAGTACAGGTGGTACCGGAAGTCCTTGGACGGGTAGGTTGGTGTTCATATGTCAGTATTTGGTCGGGTAGGTTGGCTTTCAAATGTCAGTATTTGGTCGGGTAGGTTTGCTTTCATATGTCAGTATTTGGTCGGGTAGGTTGGCTTTCATATGTCAGTATTTGGTCGGATAGGTTGGCCCTCGACAGTCACTTGTAGGGTAGGTTGGCTTTCAGTTGTCAGTATTTTAAGGTAGGTTGGTCCTCAACTGTCAAATGTGGGGTAGGTTGGTCTTTCAAATGTCCGTATTTTGTAAGGTAGGTTGTATTTCAGTTATCTGATTTTAATTGGTAGTTTTGTCTTCGTCTGTGATGACTTAGTTGATAAGTTGGTTTTCACCGGTCAATTAGGGCCTACATATTTCAGCTCTTAGACCTGTATGTTTTCAGATTAAATCTCTAAACTGATTGGCTTTTTTTATTTTATTTCAAAAGATCTTGTTAGACCTGTAGGTTTTACTTTAATGATCACTGTAACGTATTCAGACATCGCTTTTATCAAGTAGGTACTTTTAGAGGAAAGACTTTTTCGTCAATTCTTGTTTTTTTTTGGGCTTGCCTTTACTACGAGCTTTTAAACTTAGTAATATTGAACAAAATTGTTTCTGTACGCATAATATATTATACTAGGCATGCTGCCCAGCTTCGCTTAGGCTTTCGAAAACATTGAGAATTTGAATGCTTAATTAATTCGCCCGAAGGTCGGTCTACGACCTCAAGAGTTATGAAGAGGTTCCTCCGTGGACATTTTTTTTCGATTTATAGCTCATATAAGGTACCGGTCAGTCGAGGTCAGTTTTGACCCCCACATCGTAGACTTTTCGGCCAACCGGCCCCCGTGTTCTGTCGCACCAAGGCAAGATCATGCCAAATTTGAAGCGCCTGCGGCGCCGGGAAGTGCCCTATCGGACACCCGACAATCTAGATCTAGATCTAGATTCCTAAAAGAATTTTTTTTTTAAATTTAGCCCGAGCATAATAAAAAAGAATACATTAACCAAGTTGACTTGCTGTGTCTCGAACCCGCACCACCTGCGTGGTTTAATGTACACTAACATCTCCGCTATTTAGGCACCTTATAAAATGCGGAGAATGAAACACGTATTTTAAAATCTTAACTTACGCGAATATGCCTATTCTTTCAAATTAATTTTTTATCCCAAATTAGCCAGTTCCAAACAAAGATTTTGTATAAAATAAATAAGTCTTGAAATAGTTTAGTCCTAATATAGACATTTATTTTTGGAATTGATTTTAGAGAAGTTAGAGTCTAAATCTAGATCTTAGCGTCTACGTCTAGATCTAGTTATTGCGTAGATTTAGATTTAGATTTAGTCTAGATCTAGAATCTCTAGATCTAGAATCCAAATACATAAAATAAATTTTATGAGTTTAGGCCGGAAAAATTGTATTGTATACATTTCATAGTGTACGTAGATCTAAATCAAATTTGAATGAAATAGTTCATTTCTTTTCATTCTTAACACGGCAGATGACGTCATTAGTTAATGTATAAGCAATAGTGACGTCACAGTTTTATGCGTTCTTTTTCACATATATTAATGCTTTTCCGGTTGCATAAATAATACTGTTTCTCTACATTCGAATACGCCTTTAATTTTTATTTTTCTTCTTTAAGTAAAATTGTGGTTATACATTTAAAACATCTAACATATTATTTTCAACAAAAGTCCGTAAAAAGTTCTCCATATACCGCTGCCGATTCTGACGTGATGTCCGGCGAAAATTTTTTGCGGACAGAGAAAGAGAGAGAGAGAGAGAAGAGCGCACATGGCCTTTTATAAATTAGGATTTTCTTTCAATACGAAGTTCAAGTCATATACTGTATTTTTTATTTAGCTATTCTGTAAACAAAAAAACTAAACTATGGACAGGATTCGATTCGTAGATTTTTTTTTATTTGATACGGGTTTATTTTTACAAGCTAATTTAATTATTTTTTACAATATTTTAATTAAACACTAGCACAACCCTCTTAACTTCAGGCCCGTTATAACTTAGACTTCTTTTCTAGAATAAAATACATTTCAACATTAAAAATATAATTCGTGTTTTATAATGTGTATACTGAAGACACCAAGTATGTCTTGGGAGGCTGCAAAATGAACATTGTGAACAAAACAAAATGGAAGATTATGGGTGAGGTACTATACCCCACAGTGAGTAAAGAGGATTAAGTCAAGACAAGCAATGTGTATCTATCTTAATCTAATGCTAATTTTGTCACTCTACACAGGCAAACTAAAGAATGGATTACTCCAGACTTAAACGCCAAGTTTGTTATCACATACGGCAGACTTATTATCATGAATGTAAGTACACATATACAAACACACACATATATATAAAAATTAACTGACCGAAGAAATTTTGTCATCTAAAAAATTAACTGACCAAAGAAATTCTGACACCTAAAATATTAACTGACCAGCTGCCATCTAAAAAATTAACTGACCAAAGAAATTATGTCCCTTTAAAATTAACTGACCAAAGAAATTATGTCCCCTTTAAAATTAACTAACCAAAGAAATTATGTCCCCTTTAAAATTAACTGACCAAAGAAATTCTGGAATCTTCCAGCCCGACCCCGTGACCGACTCCAGCATCTACACGTGTGTAGCCTCCAACAAGATGGGCACAGCTCTCTCCAATCCTATAGAGGTCACCTATGGATGTGAGTACAATCCTATAGAGGTCACCTACGGATGTGAGTACAATCCTATAGAGGTCACCTACGGATGTGAGTACATTCCTATAGAGGTCACCTACGGATGTGAGTACAATCCTATAGAGGTCACCTACGGATGTGAGTACATTCCTATAGAGGTCACCTACGGATGTGAGTACTTTCCTATACAGGTCACCTACGGATGTGAGTACAATCCTATAGAAGTCACCTATGGATGTGAGTACAATCCTATAGAGGTCACCTACGGATGTGAGTACAATCCTATAGAGGTCACCTACGGATGTGAGTACAATCCTATAGATGTCACCTACGGATGTGAGTACTTTCCTATAGAGGTCACCTACGGATGTGAGTACAATCCTATAGAGGTCACCTACGGATGTGAGTACTTTCCTATAGAGGTCACCTACGGATGTGAGTACAATCCTATAGAGGTCACCTACGGATGTGAGTACAACCCTATAGAGGTCACCTACGGATGTGAGTACTTTTCTATAGAGGTCACCTACGGATGTGAGTACATTCCTATAGAGGTCACCTACGGATGTGAGTACATTCCTATAGAGGTCACCTACGGATGTGAGTACAACCCTATAGAGGTCACCTACGGATGTGAGTACAATCCTATAGAGGTCACCTACGGATGTGAGTACATTCCGCTCACTACATGTTGAGAAACACGCTTTTAGATGAGGGGGCGGCGTGGTCTAGTGGTAGACGACGCGACCACTAACATGAAAGTTACTGGTTCGATACGCGGAGTCCCTGCCATATATATTACCCAACACACAAAAAATATGCATCAGTTTTAAAAGATTTTACTGCTTTGCAAATGTTTTTTTTAGATTATGACATAGAAATGTGTATGTTGTTTTGACATAATCTGCCTGAACTTTTCAGACATAGCCGAGTTCCCGAATGTGAAAACAAACTTTATCGACGCCATTCTATACATGGGTATCGAAATAGGCTGTCAAACCCCAGCACATAATACAGGTATTTAGACCTCAGACATATTATAGGTTAATTAATAGACCTTAGTCCATATTTCAGGTAAGTTATTAGACCTTAGTCCATAATACAGGTAAGTTGTTAGACCTCAGCCATATTATAGGTTAATTAATAGACCTCAGTTCATAATACAGATAAGTTGTTAGATCTCAGTTCATAATACAGGTAAGTTGTTGGACCTCAGCCATATTAAAAGTAAGTGTTCAAACCCCAGCCCATATAACAGGTACGTTGTTAGACCTCAGTGCATAATACAGGTAAGTTGTTAGACCTCACCCATATTAAAAGTGTTCAAACCCCAGCCCCTATAACAGGTAAGTTGTTAGACCCCATCCCAAAATGCAGGTAACCTACAATTTATCAATCAGACTACAATCATTACTACTGTAAACATTTGATTCATAAAGATGTCACAATATTTGTTAACATTTGTTTCATAAAGATGTCACAATATCTGTAAACATTTGTTTCATAAAGATGTCACAAAATCTGTAAACATTTGTTTCATAAAGATGTCACAATATCTGTAAACATTTGTTTCAAAAAGATGTCACAATATCTGTAAACATTTGTTTCATAAAGATGTCACAATATCTGTAAACATTTGTTTTATAAAGTAGTCACAATATATGTAAACATTTGTTTCATAAAGATGTCACAACATTTATAAACATTTGTTTCATAAAGATGTCACAATATCTGTAAACATTTGCTTTATAAAGATGTCACAATATCTGTAAACATTTGTTTCATAAAGATGTCACAACATTTATAAACATTTGTTTCATAAAGATGTCACAATATCTGTAAACATTTGTTTCAAAAAGATGTCACAATATCTGTAAACATTTGTTTCATAAAGATGTCACAATATCTGTAAAAATTTGTTTCATAAAGATGTCACAATATCTGTAAAAATTTGTTTCATAAAGATGTCACAATATCTGTAAACATTTGTTTTATAAAGATGTCTCAATATCTGTAAACATTTGTTTCATAAAGATGTCACAATATCTGTAAACATTTGTTGCAGAACTCCAGTACAACTGGTACAAGTCCAACGTTAACTTCATACGAACTGATCTAAACTCACAGTACTTCCTATCTAGGAATGGACGTTTTTACATTTCTGAAGTTCAGGCCGCGGACCAGTAAGTGTGATGGCTTTAAATAGGTTGCTCGGTGGTTGGTTTGTGAGTTGGTTGGTGGTTGGTTGATAGGTTGGTAGGTGGCTGGTTGGTTGGTAGGTTGTTTGGTGGTTGGTTGGTGGGTTGGAAGGTGGTTGGTTGGTTGATTGGTAGGTTGTTTGGTGGTTGGTTGGTTGGTTGGTTGGTTGGTTGGTTGGTTAGTTGGTTGGTTGGTTAGTTGGTTGGTTGGTTCGTTGGTTGGTTCGTTGATTGGTAGGTTGTTTGGTGGTTGGTTGGTTGGTTGGTTGGTTGGTTGGTTGGTTGGTTGGTTGGCTGGCTGGCTTGCTGGTTGGTTGGTTGGTTGGTTGGTTGGTTGGTTGGTTGGTTGGTTGGCTTGCTGGGTGGCTGGCTGGCTTGCTGGTTGGTTGGTTGGTTGGTTGGTTGGTTGGTTTGCAGGCTGGCTGGCTGGCTGGTTTGTTGATTGGTTGGTTGGTTTGTAGGTTGGTAGTTTGGTAAATGGTTGGTCGTTAGTCGTACGTAGGATGGTACAAAGTCGATTGATTAGCCGATTATCCTCTCCAGGGGCGAGTACTTCTGCATGGTGTTTATGGACGCCGGAAGTGGAAAAGTTTTGGCCGAGTCCCAGGCGCCATCTCGGACCTCTATGGGCATTGACCTGAGAGTCATCGGCGGCAGTGAGTTGGGTTTTCTCTTCACCTTCCCACCTCCACCCCCACACACCTCCCCACACACTCACACACCTCCACACACTTCCCCACACACCCACACACCCCCCAGTGTATATTGACCTGCGTGTCATCGGCGGCAGTGAGTTGGGTTTTCTCTTCGCCTAGTCACCCCCACCCCCACCTATTTCCCGAGTGTACATTGACCTCCGTGTCTTTGGCAGAAGTGAGTTCGGTTTTCTCTTCACCTTCCCAACTTCTATTTTCTTATCTATAGTTTCAGTGCATTTAGAAGCTTGTTGCTATAAAGGTTTTTACTTTCTCGTATATACGAAGTATAGAGAAAGTCTTGTAATCGTGCAAAAAAAAATCAAGATTTTTATAAATCTCGACGGTTTACACCGTACTGATACGGAAAAACATAATTTTGCAATCTAGTCCGTATATCTGTGTGTCTGTGTGTGTGTCTGTCTGTGTGTAAACACGATAACTTGAGTACCGTTACAGCTAGGTTGATGAAATTTCATATATAAGTATTTTATCAAAATCGTAGATCCGTATCAACTTTTGAGCGATTTCAAAAGCCTATAACTTGAGTACTATTTCAGATAGATAAATAAAATTTCACATGTAAGTAAAAGATGTAATTCTCTACCTTCTTTCAAATTTTGAGTAATTTCCGTTGACCGGAAGTAGTAATTTACGCTATTTCCAATTTCTCAAAAAACGCATGTAAATTTATAAAGTACTAATCTTTATATGGCGTTCACTTGATGTGCAATTCTTTTTCCACGAGATTTTATTCTATTTTAAAAAGTTTAAGTATTTAAAATGGATTAAAAATCATGTCTATATCCCGAGTTCCCATCCCCTGTTGTTTTATATAAGAATATTCGAGAAAGTTTAGGGGAGATCACTCCCGGTTTATTTACATTTGTTTTATATTTACTTGTATATACTTTTATGTCTTTTATGTGTTACAGATGCCAATACTTATGGCCCAGAGATCCAGGACAGGTTCCCCCAATACTTTCCTGCCGTCCCGATGGTAGGCGAGTGGGTGGAGATCGAATGTCTTGCTTATGGGAGGTAACTACACAGCTGCATGTGGCCACATAGAAACTTATAATTTAGGATATTCAATATAATTTTTTTTTAAATCTTTTCTCAATTTTAAAAAAAAAACCGACCAAGCTTTCCTTTATCGTTATTTAAATACTTGCGAATATATATATATATATATATATATATATATATATATATATATATATATATATATATATATATATATATATATATATATATATATATATATATATATATATATATATATGTATATATATATATATATATATATATATATATATATATATATATATATATATATATATATATATATATATATATATATATATATATATATATATATATATATATATATATATATATATATATATATATATATATATATATATATATATATATATATATATATATATATATATGGGGAGCTAGCATTTATGTTTCTCCAGAGATCCGCTATAGCTTTACAAAATCCATTAATAAACATATTGAGAAGAAAAACGTTTATAAAATAACATAAAATTTAAAACAAAGTGTTAACACGTGCTAGGTAAACATATTTACAATTTATTTTTACAAAACATTTACAAATTTTTAGCGAGGAAAAGGGGGGGGGGGGGTGGGTTGTGGCTATACAGCTTATGTTTTATTAGTTCAACCATCGAAGATGCAACATTTATATTGTTTCTAAAAATAAACCACCCTTCCCAGAATGCCGCTGTACTACTCGTGGGTACGGGAGGACGCCCCCCTCAACCCCAGGTCCTACCTGAAGGACCACAACCGTGTCCTTGTGCTACCCCGGGCCAGGCTGGAGGACACGGGGACCTACACCTGTCTGGTGCAAGGTCAAACCAACAAGGCCAACAAAACCATTCACCTGAGCCTCAAAGGTGAGTAGTTCTACCTAGTCAGGTCCAGGGTCAAACCAACAAGGCCATCAAGACGATTCATCTGAGCCTAAAAGGTGAGTAGTTTTATCTGATCAGATTCAGGGTCAAACCAACAAAACGATACACCTGAGCCTCAACGGATAGTAGTTTACATGGTCAGATTCAGGGTCAAACCAAGAAGGTTAACAAAACGATTCATCTGAGCCTCAAAGGTGAGTAGCTCTACCTGGTGCATTTAAGTGCATTACAATAACAAAATTCTATCTAAAAATAACGTGCTTTCTTTAGTAAAATCACTAATCGCTTGTAAAATCAAGTAACTATATTTAGCTACCAATCATTCCTCTAAAGCAATGTTTTAATTTAATTGTTTATTTACAGTGCATTTAAAAAGCTTAATTTAAAAGAATTTTATACTGGTTTTCTTTTCTAATAGCAATTGCTTATGCATTTTTTAAATTATACATAAAAAAAATAATTTACCCTTTGTTACTGTTCTTGTCTCTGATGTGTAATTGACAGCGTTAGTTTGCTGTTGCTCCCCGTGTGTGTTATGATATTACAGTTTTCATCATCAGCTTGTAAGCAGAGTTTCTTCCAGGCATCTCTTCTAGCCCCCCCCCCCCCCGTACGAAATGGAATTTATATAGAAAATATATAATTTTGACAGTGCTCCCCCCCCCCCCCCGGAAATTTCAAGTGCACCCCCGGAGAACATAATGTCTGGAAGAAACACTGCTTGTAAGGACTGATAAAGTTTTACTTTAGAAATGCTTCTTTCTAACGTGTACTTTTATTCATATTTTTTTTTTACTTAGTTCTAATTTAACTTCAAACTTTTAGTATTAGAATGTAACGCAGATCAATGATCTGGGGGAACAGAAAACGATTGTAAAATAAGTTGTTTAAAGAGAGTCGGAGCCTTTTACTAAGATTCTTACTTTTCTTTTTTTTTTTACTTAGGATGAAAAAAAAATTTTTAAATATTGGGGAAAATCAGATGATACCATTACCATCTGACAAATACTGCGTCGGCATTTCAAATACAATAAATAAACTGTAAATCATTTAGGTTAATATAATGTATTTTTTTAAATTTACTTAATCCATATATTCTTAGTTTTTATATACCATAATCATAATGTTTGAAAAGTACATTTAAATATATTTCAAACAACCATTTCTCTAAAGCAGTGTTTAAAATGTACGCGATCGTTTTTTTTTAAATTTATTTTTATCAATAAGAATTGTTATTTCCCTTTGTTATACATGAGTTATGTTTCTTGCTAAGCAAGTTAATTTTAAAAGCCTTCTAAAAAACTCTTAATACAATAAGCGTCTCAACTTAATGCATCGTTAATTGTAATATTTAAGGGGATTTTCTTTCTTTCTTCAACAAAATAAGTATAATTGCAGCTTATTATGTGTCATATTACCTGTTGATTAAGCCTGCTTTTCTTTCATAGATTTGGTTTTTAACATTATTTTTAAAAACAACAGTGTCATCACACTTTCTTAATATCCTTCCCTTAGTCACATGATGTCACAAAATGCCGAACCCCCTCTCCCCCATTCCTGCTAAAGTGACGTGGTTTATAGACGACCCCCCTAATCTTTTTAATACAAACAGCCAAATGCTTAGATAGTGCATTAGTATAAGGCATTATAGGGCATAAGTTGAGACCTATTCAGAAGTAACCCATTCATGGTCTTATCAACTAAGAAAGGAAGGTCTTAAGTCAGAGTTTGGTCATTGTAGGTCTTATTTTTTTATTTCCCAGTTACCAAAATTAAGTTGTTGTTATTAATGAGTGTGCTATTTTGTCTGTTCTATTTAGTTTTGTTAGATATGAATAACAATAGGCAAAAATAAAATTTAAAATTTTTCTCTTATGCTACTCTATTTCCTAACCAAGCGTGGTTAATGTATTCGACAGCTCGACCCTACTTCCCCTACCCTCTGCGCCATCAGCACCTAGACGCCGGGAGCAGTTTCAAGTGGACGTGTAACGCTGTTGGTGTGCCTAAGCCTACATACACATGGTACAAGAATGGCGTCGTTCTGACGTCAGATCCGGCCATTGGATTAACGGTGACGACCTAGTTTCTGATTTATCTGCATATTAATTTTGTATAAATTATGTACATATCTAAATTTACGAAAAAAGCTAATGTTAAATCTCCTGAATCAAGAAATAGGATGAAAGTATATGCTCTCTTAAAATATTCGGGAACTCGCATCATTAAGGCGTAGATCTATTACTAATACATTGATACAGCTTTCTAAAAATAGAAAACCAAAGACGACATAGGAAACTTTCTGAAACCATGATGCATGTAAGATTGTAAATCTGAATCAGTCTTTACAAGCCGATAAGGAAAACTAATCCTCCATTGTGTTGGAGTAAATTACCTCGTATATCACAAAGAAGAACGAAGGAGATAACCTCTCCTTGGGTGCCAAGTACAGTACCGATCACTGTTTCTTCCAGACCTTTTTTCTCCGGGGGGGGGGGGGGGGGGGCACTTTAAATTTTGGGGGGAGGAGGGGGGCCGGACTAAAATTTTCGTGGGGGGGAGGATATTTTCTATATAAATTTCATTTTGTTCGGGAGGGGGTGGTAGACTTTCTTCTGGGGGGGGGGGGGGGGGGGGGGCCTCAGGGATGCCTGGAAGAAACTGGTACCGATAAAAAAAAACTGTGCAGCTCAAGTTAACAGTTTCAATTCGAGCTAAGGCAGGAAATGCAAAGGGGCATTACTCTACTCCGAAATTCGTTCCTTTGACTACATTATGCAGTTACCGCCCCTTTTATTCCCAGTTTGCTTCCAACAATATAATACTAACAATAATGCATACTAGACAATGTTTAACATCTCTTTAGATACACGATCCGTTTCCATTAAAACTATGATAATAAAGTTAAGTACTGAACCATAGTTTTAATTTTTCTTCAGGTACGAAGAAATATACTGACCATCGATAAAGTGGAGGCGGACCATCACAACGGGGTGTATCAGTGTGAGGCAACCAACTCGTATGGGAGGGCTCGCTCTACGGCCCAGATCAGAACGCTGGGTAGGCCAAACCCCATACACAGGGGAAATAGCACGGCCCCCCGGGGGGGGGGGTGGTGGGGAGGATGATGGGGTGAGTGGAGTGATCAAAGTGATACATAATCAAGGGCCGCTAAGGAGAACAATGGTGACAATGGGATGAGTTAGTTTAGTCAAGGGCGAAAATCCGGCTCACATTGATTTTAAGTTGTTTTTTTAGGGGGGATAACTAGGGTGTTTTGTTGTTGTTGTGTTTTTTTTATTTTTTTTTTTGGAAAATAATTATGGTTTTCAAAAGGGATTAGTGAACTCGTAGATAAAAATTTATTACTTCTACGGGTCGAGAAGGATAAATATGTCTTATTAGGTATATAACTGGAGGCTCGATTGAGTCAAGCATGATTTTCATCATAGGAAAAGGGGTGGGGCTGGGGGGGGGGGGGTATAGAGACTATAGTTTTCAATGGGAGACAACTGGAATTTAATATGTATGATCAAGGTCTATGCCAATCGGCATTAATTTAGAAAGTAGGGCTTGCATTGTGTAGCGCTTTTGATTGAGGGAGTTAAGAGGGTCTTGAACATTTCGTGGCATAGTCTAATTATACAGCCTAATTTCAAATTTATTTCTTCACTCTTTAAGTACTTTATATAACAGCCTTTTGTTTTTCGTTGAATGGTTTCAGCTTTTGCCCCCACCTTTGTGTCGACGCCCCTGGCGAAAACCAAACAAGCGACGGAGGGGGGTAACATCACCATAGCCTGCACCCCCCAGGCCGCGCCACGGGCACACATCACGTGGTTGAGGAACGGTGTGGAGCTGGATGCGGTGCTGCCCAGCGGGGCCCTGAGGCTGGTCGGCGTGAGCAAGGCAGATTCTGGAACTTACACGTGCGTGGCGGTCAATGACCTTGGTGAAGCACGCGCGTCGTGTGAGCTGACGATTTTTGGTGAGTTTTTTAAAATGGATGATATCTGGTTAGACAATGTGTTGGTTGTGGCGATAGACAATATGTGAGGTGTGGCAATAGACAATATGTGAGGTGTAGCAATAGGACTGGTAATTAGGTCACCAACCAGTTCTACGGCTCAATAAAACCTGCATGAGCCATAGAACTGGTTGGTGACCTACTTACTAGCCCAATAGACAATATGTTGTAGCAATAGACATTATTTGAGGTGTGGCAATAGACTATATGTGAGGTGTGGCAATAGACACTGTGTGAGGTATGGCAATAGACAATATGTGAGGTGTGGCAATAGACATTATGTGAGTGTTGGCAATATACAATATGTGAGGTGTTGCAATAGACAATATGTGAGGGTGGCAAGATACATTATTTGAAGTGTGGCAATAGACAATATATGTGAGGTGTGGCAATAGACACTGTGTGAGGTATGGCAATATACAATATGTGAGGTGTTGCAATAGACAATATGTGAGGGTGGCAAGATACATTATTTGAAGTGTGGCAATAGACAATATATGTGAGGTGTGGCAATAGACACTGTGTGAGGTATGGCAATAGACAATATGTGAGGTGTGGCAATAGACATTATGTGAGTGTTGGCAATATACAATATGTGAGGTGTTGCAATAGACAATATGTGAGGGTGGCAAGATACATTATTTGAGGTGTGGGAATAGACTATATGTGAGGTGTGGCAATAGACACTATGTGAGGTGTGGCAATAGACACTATATGTGAGGTGTGGCAATAGGCAATATGTGAGGTATGGCAATAGACAATACGTTGGTTGTAGCAATAGACAATATGTGAGGTGTGGCAATAGACACAACGAGGTATGTAGTAAAATAGAAAGTCTGCGGGATGTGGCAATAGACAGCTCCTTCGATTATAGAATTTTTTAATCACGTCTTACAGTTATTTTTAAAAATATATGTGTAGGCCATATCTTTCATAGTCAATTTTTTTTTTTCTGTTAATACTGCCACCCCCCACCCCCCACCCCCAACTGTTAAAACATCACACACCCCATACTCTCCTGTACCCAGGTCAAACAGTTTTCCTAGAGGAACCCAGTGACGTGGTTGTAGAGCAGAACCAGACGGCCGTCTTACAGTGTCGGGCGTCCTTCGCCAAGGGCAGCATGGACATCGTGTACACCTGGGCTTTCTACTCACACGTCCTTGACCTCACGGGCAACAGCGAGGACCGTGTCCACTACACTATGGTGAGGTGGGGGGTGCCGCGGGGTGGGACAGCCCTAATGTGATGAAGTGGGGTGGAGAGAATGGATAGCCCGGAGGTGGGGTGGGGAGGGGAGGGGGTGGAGGGGTGGGACAGCCCTAATGTGATGAAGTGGGGTGGAGAGAATGGACAGCCCGGAGGTGGGGTGGGGAGGGGAGGGGGTGGAGGGGTGGGACAGCCCTAATGTGATGAAGTGGGGTGGAGAGAATGGATAGTACTGAGGTGGGGGGGGGGACAGATCTGATGTGATGAAGTGGGGTGGAGAGAATGGATAGTACTGTAGTGGGGGTGGAGGGGTGGGACAGCCCTAATGTGATGAAGTGGGGTGGAGAGAATGGATAGTACTGAGGTGGGGGTGGGGGGGACAGCCCTAATGTGATGAAGTGGGGTGGAGAGAATGGATAGTACTGAGGTGGGGTGGGGGGACAGCCCTAATGTGATGAAGTAGGGTGGAGAGAATGGATAGTACTGAGGTGGGGGTGGGGGGGGGACAGCCCTAATGTGATGAAGTGGGGTGGAGAGAATGGAGAGTACTGAGGTGGGGGGCGGGGGGGGACAGATCTGATGTGATGAAGTGGGGTGGAGAGAATGGATAGTACTGAGGTGGGGGTGGAGGGGGACAGCCCTAATGTGATGAAGTGGGGTGGAGAGAATGGATAGTACTGAGGTGGGGGGCGGGGGGGGACAGATCTGATGTGATGAAGTGGGGTGGAGAGAATGGATAGTACTGAGGTGGGGGTGGAGGGGTGGGACAGCCCTAATGTGATTAAGTGGGGTGGAGAGAATGGATAGTACTGAGGTGGGGGTGGAGGGGGACAGATCTGATGTGATGAAGTGGGGTGGAGAGAATGGATAGTACTGAGGTGGGGGTGGGGGGACAGCCCTGATGTGATTAAGTGGGGTGGAGAGAATGGATAGTACTGAGGTGGGGGTGGACGGGTGGGACAGCCCTGATGTGATGAAGTGGGGTGGAGAGAATGGATAGTACTGAGGTGGGGGTGGGGGGACAGCCCTAATGTGATGAAGTGGGGTGGAGAGAATGGATAGTACTGAGGTGGGGGTGGGGGGACAGCCCTAATGTGATGAAGTGGGGTGGAGAGAATGGATAGTACTGAGGTGGGGGTGGGGGGACAGCCCTAATGTGATGAAGTGGGGTGGAGAGAATGGATAGTACTGAGGTGGGGGTGGGGGGACAGCCCTAATGTGATGAAGTGGGGTGGAGAGAATGGATAGTACTGAGGTGGGGGTGGGGGGACAGCCCTAATGTGATGAAGTGGGGTGGAGAGAATGGATAGTACTGAGGTGGGGGTGGGGGGACAGCCCTAATGTGATGAAGTGGGGTGGAGAGAATGGATAGTACTAAGGTGGGGATGGGGGGGGGGGGTGGGACAGCCCTAATGTGATGAAGTGGGGTGGAGAGAATGGACAGTCTTGATGTGGGGGGGGGGTGGGGGGGACAGCCCTAATGTGATGAAGTGGGGTGGAGAGAATGGACAGCTTTGAGGTGGAGGGGGGTGAAACGGCTGACAACCCCGAGGGTGGGTGAGATGGAGATGGGTAAAAAGCTTCCACTGCTATGGTGGTTGGAAGCGGCGGATGGTCTTGGGGTATGGGGGGTGTGGGTGGGACGGACAGTCCTAATGTGATGAAGTGGAGTGGAGAGAATGGACAGCCCCTTGGGGGGGGGGGGGGGGGGGGCGACCAACAGCGCCGAAATTGACTTGACTTTTTGTTGTATAAATAAAAACTTGTTTAATAATGCAGATAAAAAGGACATCTGCTGATATAGTTGTCAGAGGAGTTCTAAATGTCTTAATTAGACTAAAAAGCTCATTATTCAACAACTCTATTTAACTCAAAAGTATTATACGGTTCTTTTGTTTAGGGGAGGCTAGTCTGTATAAAGTGTATAGTAAGGGAAACAACTGCATATTAAAAGATAGATACTCTTTATCACATAAAAACATAAAAATTCATATGCGAGTTTTTCTAAGCCGTTATATAATTTTACATGTTAAAAATTGCACATTTAACTTTCTAATAAAATTTAAGAGGTTTATTGTTTTAATACGACTTTTACTAAAAACTCTTAATTATGTATAAATAGTTACACTTTAGCATTATATTGTCAAAAGTGTAATTTATAAAGTAGTTTGAAATGATCCTCAATTTGCGGTAGCAGCCTGCATAGCAATCTTATGTTTATTTTACCATTTGTCCCACTAGTATTATCTTGTCGTAATTCGCAAAATGTAGTCTTGAAAAAAACACATATAAAGTTTCATGGTCAAATTTTTGTTTTTTTACATTTAAGAGGTTTATTGTTTTAGTATGACTGTAACTAAAAAATAAATTATATATAAATAGTTACACGTTATATTGTCAGAAGTGTAATTTATAATGGAGTTCAAAATCAATCACCGTTGCAAGCTATGCAAAAACGACAGTAATATGTTTATTTTACCATTCTTGTTTCTTATTCTTCAAAAAAGTGGCACTATTTCAGGGGTCGGCAACCTTTTGAGACGGAAGAGCCAAAAGTTATAATTTACAAGATTTTCCAACTTTTAAAGACCCACAAACACTTTGATTTCGTATTATGGTATTTAATTAGGATTAGATGAATAAATGTGCTTTTTAATTTGAAATAAATAGCTTTATATATAAAATAATATTTATTTATATAAAAACATAATTGTTTCTCACAAAGCATATTAAAGTATTTTAGCTAGCTCTGTACTGATAAATTTAGTAATAAAATAATATAACCATAGGACATATCCAATCCATTTTTAGGAGCCAAAACATTTTTTGTCTTTCTTTACGGACATCATGTCAGGAGATTTCTGCCATTAGCCAGGCAGGCCTCAACACGGCAAACTCCGACTAACTGGCTTGGATATCGGGTTGATACCGTGTATTGGCCTCGTGTGTCCTTTGGTTCTCACCAAGCCTATCTTCCACCCCACTGAACGCAGGGTAAACTCGTACCCCACCGTCCAGTACCCGGCTCAACAGTAGGAAGCTAATAACTAAAAAACTAAGTCACGCAGGTCTAATTAATGCATACAGACAGATAAAGAAATGCATTCTGAATAACATAAAATTCACTATTGAACGATATTTGAAAAAGTCGGCACTTCGGCAGTGGCAAGCATGGAATAGTCACCACGGGGTTGTCCACAGCACGGCTGTGGGGCTGGGGCTGGTGCCAAAGCGGCTGTCAGCTGTCCGTATACTAATAGTATACTGACAGCTGACACTTTTTACCTCCCCTACTCTCATTGTTCCCTGATGAGTGTTTTTATCCCATTTAAAGTTGCTTTTCTTTACAGTATAATATTTTTTTATGAGTTTTGAAAATGAAATAACATGTGTGTATAGAACTCGAGAGCCACATCTTGACATCAAAAGAGCCGCATGCGGCTCGCGAGCCTTCACTAAGAGATTTAGTCGTCTGTAACTAGACTATTTGACTTGATGTATTGACTTGGCACTAGAAGATTTAGTCGTCTGTAACTAGACTATTTGACTTGATGTATTAACTTGGCACTAGGAGATTGAGTCGTCTGTAACTAGACTATTTGACCTGATGTATTAACTTGGCACTAGGAGATTTAGCCGTCTGTAACTAGACTATTTGACTTGATGTATTAACTTGGCACTAGGAGATTTGGTCGTCTGTAACTAGACTATTTGACTTGATGTATTAACTTGGCACTAGGAGATTTAGTCTGTAACGAGACTATTTGACTTGATGTATTTACTTGGCACTAGGAGATTTGGTCGTCTGTAACTAGACTATTTGACTTGATGTATTAACTTGACACTAGGAGATTTAGTCGTCTGTAACTAGACTATTTGAATTGATGTATTAACTTGGCACTAGGAGATTTAGTCGTCTGTAACTAGACTATTTGACTGTGGCGTAACAAGGGGAGGGCGCGTGGGGCGGCCGCCGCGGGTGCCGACCCTAAGGGGGCGCCAAAAGGGGTAGAATAATTAATTCAAAAGCTCATTTTAAGCTGAAGTATTGGATTATACACAGTCAAAGTTACGAAAATAAACAACTACAAGGCTTTGCACACTGATTTAACAATTGTGTGTCACCGAAATAGAAGACGTTATGGGATAGTAACTGGTAAGAAGCGCTACGAACATTTCAAACTGGGGGAAGGGGGGGAGGTTTTTTTTCAAAGACAGGAATAACTATATATAGAAATGTGAGGAAGGGGGGCGAAAAATGTGTAGTCCGCCCCGAGCGCCGGATTATGTCGCTGCGCCTCTGCTATTTGACTTGATGTATTAACTTGGCACTAGGAGATTTAGTCGTCTGTAACTAGACTATTTGACTTGATGTATTGACTTGGCACTAGGAGATTTAGTCGTCTGTAACTAGACTATTTGACTTGATGTATTGACTTGGCACCTGGAGGTACCAACAACTGTAACTAGCCCATGCTCTACCTCCTCTGGCAGCCCTTCTACAACAACCTCGAGTCTGGCACCCTGTACATCGTTGGCGCCCAGCTCAAGCACTCGGGGCTCTACACCTGTCAGGTGTCCACCGTCACGGGGTCGATTAGTGCAAGCGCTTACGTCACCGTCAGAGGTAAGGTAAACGTCCATGTTGACGTTGTATTGTCTATTGTCGAAATAAATGTTCACACGGGGTGGGAAGTGGGTTGTTTGTATAGGACGTCACTCACAAATGAGGAATTTTGGGTTCAGAATTATGTGACAATGCTCTTTATTTGTGTTTATTTTTTTAATTTTTTTTTTTTTTTTTTTTTTTTTTTTTTTTTTTTTTTTTTTTTTTTTTTTTTTTGCTTTCTTGAAATCCTAGTCTCAAATTGTGGGGGCGATTTTTTGGGCGATTTAAAATACTTTTAATTATTGCAGTGCAGAGAACAAAAAATATATACATCTGCTCACATATATATTTAAATCTTGCAATCTTGATAAGCATTTGAGAAACCATTATGTGTGTGTTGTAGATGAATGAAGTAGACTGTATATTAAACTTTTCACATTATTTTTTATTTATATTTTTTATTTATTTTATTTTTGCTCTTTGTCTCCATATTTCTCCAAAATCACTATCTATATTTGGAAATGTAAAACATCTCACCCCCCCCCCCCTCTGTCCCCACCCCCTGTCCCCACCCCCTGTCCCCACCCCCAGGCCCACCGGGTGAGCCAGCCGGCGTCCACGTCCGACAGAGCAACGTGACGCAACTCCGACACGACAACGTGGAGATCTGGTGGCAAGACGGCGACTACCACGGCTACCTCACCACCCACTACGCCATCGAGTTCAGGACAACCTACGATGAGGATTGGACGCTGCTGCGTGACGGTTGGTTAAAATATTTCAAATTTTTGTATCGCGCGCGATGGTTGGTCGAAATATTTTAAATTTTTGTATAGTGTTTGACGGTTGGTTGAAATATTTTAAATTTTCGTATCGTGCGCGATGGTTGGTTGAAATATTTTAAATTTTTGAATAGTGCGTGATGGTTGGCCGAAATGTTTATAAATTTTGAATTATTTGAGCTGTTTGGTGAAAATGTTTAATTTTTGTATTGCACGTGGTGGTAGGTCTAAATGAGTTAATTTTTTTTTTTAATGCGGTGCGCTGTTTGCTGGAATTTTGTTTTTAAATGTTATTACGGGACAACGGTTGGTAGATTTTTTATTTTATTCTAGTAAGTTGCGGGTTATTTGGTTCAAATTTCTGTTGATGTATCATTTTAAGATGATGGTTACTTTAGAAAATAAACAGTTGCAGGCAGGTCTATAAGAATGATGTATACTTTATTTTTAAAATTAAATTGACTTTCTTATCACATATATTCCACATATGTTTAGACATAACCACCCATGAGACGAAAGTTCCAGAACATCCAGATTGGCATGGCTTTGTCATCACAGAGGGGCTGTCGCCAGGCAACGGCTACCAGTTCAGGATGAGGGCCGGCAACCATCAGATTGGCTTCGGTCCAGTCAGCAGTGGCCCTTACAGTAAGACATGGGTTTTTTTCTTCTAAGTTGATCTAAAAGTGGGACTCATAGTAAGATCGGGTTTTTTCTTCTTAGTTTATCTAGCAGTGGTCCTTACAGTAAGACATGGTTTTTTTTAGTTCATCTAGCAGTGGGCCTTATAGTAAGATATGGGTTTTTTCTTCTTAGTTTATCTAGCAGTGGGCCTTATAGTAAGACATGGGTTTTTTCTTCTTCTTAACATATCTAGCAATGGGCCTTATAGTAAGATCTGGGTTTTTTCTTAGTTTATCTAGCAGTGTGGGTATTACCGTAAAATCTGGAATTTTTCTAACTATTTCTAGCAGTGGGCCTTGCAATGAAATCTGGAGTTTTTTTTCTTAGTTCGTCTAGCAGTGAGCCATTAAGTCATACAGTTAGATCTGGGTTTTTTCTTCTTAGTTAATCTAGCAGAGGGCCTTACAGTAAGATCTGGATTTTTATCATAATTAATCTAGCAGTGAGCCTTGTACTTACAGTGGCGTAGTTGTAGTGGAGATGTGACTAGGTAAATTAGGTTTTACAGTAAAATTAGTTGTTTTACAAAATGGTCAAAGCAACATACCGTGGCGTAGTTTGAAAGGGATGGGGTTAGCTGTATTGCCTTTAGAACACTAAGAATTAGGCATTACTGATCAATTTTTTGTGAATTGTTGTGAGGGCAAGGAATTGTATCCATTCAGAGGTGGACTTAAGAGAAAGGTCTTAATTTGCTTTTTCGTGGTCGCTAAATCATTTAGGGTGGGGGGCGGTTAGGGTCGCCCTATCCCATTATGATATCGTCAGCTCAAGCAAATGTTTTTGTTACCAGAATGGTACACAGTTGTGACGTCAGCACCTATTTACGCGCCAACCAACATTGGAGGCGGAGGGGGATTTGAAGGACAACTCATCATATCCTGGGAGGTAAACTCATTTTAACACAGTCATCTCCCCTTACATTTTAAAGTCATTAAGTTTAATTTTTGTATTTAATTAATCGTGTGTTTTAATTTCTTTTACATAAGTATGTATTTGTTTAATTTAATCTTTTAATTTAGAGTTTACAATAACTTTATATTGTTTACTACTATTGTTTATCGTCCATAACAAATGATGTTTCGCTTTGAAGCCGAATTATACCCCACCACCACATCGTCACATATTGTCACTCATCGTCACTCATCGTCACTAAAACTTGTAAAACCTAGACCTCTTTCTCCTTACCCTCCCTGAAGATGACGTCATAAATATCTATTCCCCCTCCCCCCCCCCCCCCCCCCCAGAAAAGAAATACTTCTTCACACTTTCTAACCCTAACCCTCATCTTCGTCACACAGCGTCACTAAAGTCCAAACCCCAAACCCTCCTTCATCGCGAACATGACATCAGTTACAAACTATCCCTATTTTCAAGAGACATCTGTATGGTAGTAGAGTAAAAAAAAAATTGTCTTTCCTGCCTAACAAAGTTTGTCCACTTTCTAGGCCCTACCGAGAAGCCACTGGGGTGGGGACAACCTGAGGTACCAGGTGTACTATAGGCGTAAGCTGGACAACGACCTCAACAAGAAATGGGAAATGGTAAGTGGGTTCTTGTGTCAGTCTTGTGAAGCATAGGCGGGGGGGGGGGGGGGGCTGGACAACGACCCCCATCAAGAATAATAATGTAACGATGCTTTTCCTTAAAAAAAATTTTATTTCATAATCTATTATAAAAACTAGCAAGAAAATGTTAGCATTGTCGGGTGAGGGTTGTTTCAAAAATGTTTTAATTAGTTAATTAGGGGCGGTCGTGAATGAAAATGTTATATAATGTTATTTATGGTAAGGTGGGACGGCGTGGCCTAGCGGTAGAGAACTCGGCCGCAAACCGTAGTTCGAATCCGGGTTCAAATCAGTGAAACATCCCTGAGTCCACTCAGCTCTGATGGGTACCTAACTTACGTTAGGGAAACAAAGGCGGCTGGGCATGCTGCTGACTACACTATCCCTTCATACGCCGAGGTCTCTAAAGCAGATGAACTCTACTTCATCTACAGACTCCGTGTGTCTTGGGCACGAGCTAACGAGCAGGCAGGTGCTGAACTTAGTTGTCAGAGGGTATTTGAGAAGGTTTTAAGCCACACGAATTTGAGAAGGCTATAAGCCACACGGATTTGAGAGGGCTATAAGCCATACGAATTTGAGAGGGCTGTAAGCCACACGAATTTGAGAGGGCTTTCAGCCACACGGGCAGGCAGGTGCTGGACTTAGTTGTCTGGGTGCAATTTGAGACTAATGCGATTTTGGATTATTATACAGTGGGAGCTTATCTCTCCCCCCCCCCCCCGGACAACTCCGGATATAACAACTTTAAAACCGACACAATAACAAAACATGGAATATAAATAATTCGATTTGGTAATTGTCTTCTTATAATTTGTTACGTTTCGGTTATTGTACGAACAGTCAGAGGAGGTAACTTAGTCTGTATTCTACACAATTGTTTTGTAATAATTTGTTTCGGTTTTTAAACAAACAGTCAGAGGAGGTAACTGAGTCTGTATTCTACACAATTGTTTTGTAATAATTTGTTTTCGTTTCGGTTTTTAAACAAACAGTCAGAGGAGGTAACTGAGTCTGTATTCTACACAATCGTCTTGTAATAATTTGTTTCGTTTCGGTTTTTAAACAAACAGTCAGAGGAGGTAACTGAGTCTGTATTCTACACAATCGTCTTGTAATAATGTGTTTCGTTTCGGTTTTTAAACAAACAGTCAGAGGAGGTAACTGAGTCTGTATTCTACACAATTGTTTTGTAATAATTTGTTTTCGTTTCGGTTTTTAAACAAACAGTCAGAGGAGGTAACTGAGTCTGTATTCTACACAATCGTCTTGTAATAATTTGTTTCGTTTCGGTTTTTAAACAAACAGTCAGAGGAGGTAACTGAGTCTGTATTCTACACAATTTTTTTGTAATAATTTGTTTCCGTTTCGGTTTTTAAACAAACAGTCAGAGGAGGTAACTGAGTCTGTATTCTACACAATCGTCTTGTAATAATTTGTTTCGTTTCGGTTTTTAAACAAACAGTCAGAGGAGGTAACTGAGTCTGTATTCTACACAATCGTCTTGTAATAATTTGTTTCGTTTCGGTTTTTAAACAAACAGTCAGAGGAGGTAACTGAGTCTGTATTCTACACAATCGTCTTGTAATAATTTGTTTCGTTTCGGTTTTTAAACAAACAGTCAGAGGAGGTAACTGAGTCTGTATTCTACACAATTGTTTTGTAATAATTTGTTTTGGTTTTTAAACAAACAGTCAGAGGAGGTAACTGAGTCTGTATTCTACACAATCGTCTTGTAATAATTTGTTTTGGTTTTTAAACAAACAGTCAGAGGAGGTAACTGAGTCTGTATTCTACACAATCGTCTTGTAATAATTTGTTTCGTTTCGGTTTTTAAACAAACAGTCAGAGGAGGTAACTGAGTCTGTATTCTACACAATCGTCTTGTAATAATTTGTTTCGTTTCGGTTTTTAAACAAACAGTCAGAGGAGGTAACTGAGTCTGTATTCTACACAATTGTTTTGTAATAATTTGTTTTGGTTTTTAAACAAACAGTCAGAGGAGGTAACTGAGTCTGTATTCTACACAATCGTCTTGTAATAATTTGTTTTGGTTTTTAAACAAACAGTCAGAGGAGGTAACTGAGTCTGTATTCTACACAATTGTTTTGTAATAATTTGTTTCGGTTTTTAAACAAACAGTCAGAGGAGGTAACTGAGTCTGTATTCTACACAATCGTCTTGTAATAATTTGTTTCGTTTCGGTTTTTAAACAAACAGTCAGAGGAGGTAACTGAGTCTGTATTCTACACAATCGTCTTGTAATAATTTGTTTTGGTTTTTAAACAAACAGTCAGAGGAGGTAACTTAGTCTGTATTCTACACAATTGTTTTGTAATAATTTGTTTCGGTTTTTAAACAAACAGTCAGAGGAGGTAACTGAGTCTGTATTCTACACAATCGTCTTGTAATAATTTGTTTTGGTTTTTAAACAAACAGTCAGAGGAGGTAACTAAGTCTGTATTCTACACAATTGTTTTGAATTAATTTGTTTCGGTTTTTAAACAAACAGTCAGAGGAGGTAACTGAGTCTGTATTCTACACAATCGTCTTGTAATAATTTGTTTCGTTTCGGTTTTTAAACAAACAGTCAGAGGAGGTAACTGAGTCTGTATTCTACACAATCGTCTTGTAATAATTTGTTTCGTTTCGGTTTTTAAACAAACAGTCAGAGGAGGTAACTGAGTCTGTATTCTACACAATCGTCTTGTAATAATTTGTTTCGTTTCGGTTTTTAAACAAACAGTCAGAGGAGGTAACTGAGTCTGTATTCTACACAATTGTTTTGTAATAATTTGTTTTGGTTTTTAAACAAACAGTCAGATGAGGTAACTGAGTCTGTATTCTACACAATCGTCTTGTAATAATTTGTTTTGGTTTTTAAACAAACAGTCAGAGGAGGTAACTGAGTCTGTATTCTACACACTGGTTGGCGTCCAAAACTATTTCTTCCCATACGAGGTCAAAGTTCAGGCGATCAACGACAAGGGCAGGGGACCTAACTCTACGATCGGCATAGTGTACTCGGCAGAAGCATGTAAGTGAACGCCCTGGTGCACTGTTATGAATTACGTACTTGAACTGTTCTCTTCGGAGTGAGAGGGGAGGGGGGTAAGTGCTCACGCAACCTCCCCTAGCTACTCCTCTGCTTGGAAGGCTTCATGTTCTTTGTTCTCTCCCCTCAAAAATATAACTAAATTACATTTGTTTTACTTTTAATACAAAAAAGTGGACAGCTAAATATAGATTAATCGCTGTAATATTTAACTTATTTTTTTCTTCTGCACATTCTATAAAATAATCGGAAAAGTTTGAAACTAAAGTTAGTATGGGGAGGGAATCAAAACAATACCAAACATAGAACAAGCCAAGAAGAGTGACAGACAGGGAATAGGAAACAAACAAAAAATAATTGTTCAGTGAGCCGTTTGTGCTGTTTAATTTTAAAGCCTTTCGCCCAAACAGGCCGCGTACATTGAAAAGAAGTTAGTAATGGTTAATTTAAAACAAACTTTTTAATAATGCAGATAAAAAATGGCATCTGATGAGACAGTTGTCAGAGGAGTTCTAAATTTCTTAATTAGACTAAAAAGCTCATTATTCAACAACTCTATTTAACTCAAAAGTATTATGGTTCTTTTGTTTAGGGGAGGCTAGTCTGTATAAAGTGTATAGTAAGGGAAACAACTTCATAATAAAATATATTTACTATATTATCATAAAAAACATCATAATTGTATGCGTGTTTTTCTTAATCGTTAAATAGTTTTAAATGTTTAAAATTGCACATTTTACTTACTATTAAAATTTAAGAGGTTTATTGTTTAAATATGACTAATCTAAATTATGTATAAATTGTTATACTTTAGCGTTATGTTGTCAGAAGTGTAATTTATAGAGGAGATTACGAGCAATCGTTGTTAGGGTAGACCCATGAAATTACTGTACTACAATACTTTTTACATTTGAATGAACACGCTCGATTTTGTGAATCTTCAAAGACATGAACATTCATTGTTTATAGATCTATATGCAATAGATGCTCATGTCTCTGATGCGTTGTAAAACTATCAAATAAATTATTATTATTGATTTAAGTGTTTAAAACAATTGAATTAATTAAAAAAAAATTTAAATAAAAGGAATAAATAAAAATTTGAGGACTGCTATAGATAAAGATGTTTGAAAGGGAAGAATGTTTGATTTGATGTGTCTCATTGAAATAACATAACTTTTCCGATTGCTTAAAATTTCTATCATCTTAATTTTCTGTAATCCCAAAATTATTTCAGCTCTACTTAAAAACCCTAAACCCTCCCCCCCCCCCCCCCCCCCTCTCAGCACACCACGCCGATGAGAAGAAAATCCCTTGAATCATCATTTGCATCTTCACGATGGTTTTTTTTTTTTCATATTTAGACGTTTTGTATTAGATCTATGTATAAGTAAACTATCTTAAATGAATGAAAGTAGGCTACAAGTAAGAAAGAAATATTACTATCGTAAATATGTATCAGTCCTGACAAGCCGATGATGAAAACTGTAACACTAAAGCGAACATGCAAGGCAAACTGACGCTGTAAATTACATGTCTGAGGCAGAAAAAAAGAATAGAAAAAAAAAAAGAAGAAAAAAACGATTTTGTGGATGTTTGCTCTGTCTGACCAGAGTCTAGATTCTATTTGTTGTAGAGTTTGATCCAGAATCTAGATCTAGTCCTAGATTCTATTTGTTGTAGAGTTTGATCCAGAATCTAGATCCATTCCTAGATTCTATTTGTTGTAGAGTTTGATCCAGAATCTAGATCCAGTCTTAGATTCTATTTTTTGTAGAGTTTGATCCAGAATCTAGATCCAGTCCTAGATTCTATTTGTTGTAGAGTTTGATCCAGAATCTAGATCCAGTCCTAGATTCTATTTGTTGTAGAGTTTGATCCAGAATCTAGATCCAGTCCTAGATTCTATTTGTTGTAGAGTTTGATCCAGAATCTAGATCCAGTCCTAGATTCTATTTGTTGTAGAGTTTGATCCAGAATCTAGATCCAGTCCTAGATTCTATTTGTTGTAGAGTTTGATCCAGAATCTAGATCCAGTCCTAGATTCTATTTGTTGTAGAGTTTGATCCAGAATCTAGATCCAGTCCTAGATTCTACATTCGTAATATTTTTGTTTTCCAATATTTTATATTAATCTCCAAAATGGCACAAAGTATAGGTAGCAAGCATAGACGAAGGATGAGAAACATAAAACGCCAGCATTATGCTAAAAAGGATCTTGATAAATTGAAGAAGTTGGCAGCCAAATCTTCAGAGCTTGGAGATCTTGCAGTGGCGTAGGCAGGGGGGGTTAGGGGGGGGGGTCATAACCCCCCCATAGACCCCTCGGTATATATATATAAAAAGTATGAGGGGGGGTGCAAATCGAAAGATTGAGAGGGGGGGGGGGGGGTTGCAAATCGAAAGTTTGTCCCCGGGTAAAAATTGGACCCCCCCCCCCCCCCCCGTGAGACGATCCTGGCTACGCCACTGAGATCTTGTTATAAATAAAAATGTTGAAGAAATTAAGGAAAAACAAAAGGTTGAAAAAGTTTCTGAACAAAATGAAGGTGCCACTATGGATGTGGACAAAGCCCTGAAAAATTATGACAAGAGGACTATGCAAGATGAACATGGTCACTACCCCTCCTTGGATGAATGAAAGAGCTATTTTTAAAAAAACAGAAAGCCAAAATAGCCAATTCAAAGAAAAAAGTTGAAAATAAAATAAAGTGGTGATTTAAAAAAAAAAATTTACAGTTGAATGCTAGACTTGTTATCGTGTGGAAGTTTGTGTCTTGTGCTCCGTGGCAGAACTCACTGCATATTCCTCCACCACCTGTGTTGTGGGCACAGGACAAAGCTAAACTTTTCTCATAGTGTAGCTTGAAAACTGTGTTAATCCTACACAGTGGCGTAGCGAGGTCGGGTGTCACCCGGTGCGGCACTTAATGGTGTCACCCCCCAGAGGCGTAGTGACCCTTCCCGGGGACAAACATTCAAACTTTCGATTTGCACCCCCCCCCCTCAAGTTTTTCTCTATATATTTTGCTATTTTTTGCCTTGGTGTCACCCCCCCCCCCTAAATGGTGTCACCCGGTGCGGTCCGCACCCCCCCCCCCCCCTCGCTACGCCTCTGATCCTACAATAATCCTGAAAGACAATAGTTTTTATTTCCATAGCAAGGTAGAAACATCAAGTTCTGACCACGTGTTCTTAATGAAATTTAACAAAGATATTGACCCTGATACCAGTACGATGTCACTAGAAGGGAAGTTATATTTGTTATTATGAAAAAAGAGGATAGTTCTGGTTTTTTGGCCTAGGCTTCTAAACGATTTCCAAAAAATACATTATTTAAAAACAGACTTTGAAAAATGGAGAGATGAGGATAATCCAGATGTGGAAGACCATGAAGATTTTAATTTAGATGAGATGATGCAGTCCATAGGAGGTTTGCAAGGCTGTGCTGGATAAGACTTAGGAGAACAAGAGGACAGTGCTGACCAGAATTTCTTCCAGGCATCTCTTCGGAAAAAATTTTACCGCCCCCCCCCCCCCCGAACGAAATGAAATTTATATAATTTTATATAGAGAATATATACTTTTAACAGTGTCCGCCCCTCCCCCCCCGAAGAAAGTTTACCGCCCCCCCCCCGAAAATTTCAAGTGCCCCCCCCCCCGGAGAAAAAAAGTCTGGAAGAAACACTGGTGCTGACGAAGACTTGCCAGACCTACATTAGTAAAGACGTGTTTTGTGTGTGTGTGAGCTAATGATTGCTACATGAACGTGTACATTTGTAAGATTATTTTTAACCACTATTAGTTGTTGGTTGCTTGAAGTAAGAGTAATCTACTTTTTTTTAAATGTTTTAATTTGACCAAATGGTATATAGAGTGTGATTGACATGCTTATCTATAACAATGTAGTAAACTTGACGTCAAGCAAATACCCCCCCCCCCCCCAGACTACCTCGATTAACGGATTGCTTCCTTCGCTTGTACCAGAGTTTCTTCCAGGCATCCTCTTCAGGGGAAAAGTCTACCACCCCCCCCCCCTCCCCTCCCCGAACGAAATGAATATTATATATTGTTATGTAGAAAATGTATACTTTTAACAGTGTCCCCCCCCCCCCCCCACACACACACACGAAAATTTCAACTCCCCCCCCCCCCCCCAACCCGGGAGAAAAAAGGTCCTGGAAGAAACATTGGTTTGTACATTATTAGCTGTTATTAACTAGATCTAGTTGTGTACTGTTCTCTAAAATATTTCCCTTTATAAGACCTATCATATTGATTAGGACCAACAGTTAATGTCTGTAGAGTTCATAATTACTATAGCATTCCTATAATATTTTTTTTTTCCTTTGTTTCAACTTTGCTGAAGTAGTTTGTGAGAAAAAAAAATGTTCTACTTTACCTTCTACATTTATGTAACTTTTCTAATATGACACAGTCTACACCAACACCACATAAGTTGATGTATTTGTTTTATTTGAGAATTTAAAAAAAAAAAGAATTTAGGGAAAGGATGTGTATGTTGCGGGTGCGTCATTAATTTATGTGTCCCTTATCAGTACCCACTAGGATCCCCACGTTCGTCAGCGCCAAACCTATAAATAGCACAGCGTCGATTGTCACGTGGGAGAGAATACCAATCACAAGAGAGGATTCGAAGGGAGTCCCTTTCGCTTATGTGGTGAGCTTTGTTGTTGTGTTTGTAGAGGTGGTGTTCCCGGGCAGTGTTTCTTCCAGACTTTTTTCTCCAAGGGGGGGGGGGGGGGGGCACTAGATATGTTATGTTTGGGGGGGGGGGGATGGCGGATTAAATTTTCCAGGAGGGGCGGACACTGGTAGAAGTATGTTTTTTATATAAATTCCATTTCGTTCGGGGGGGGGGGGGGGGGGGCGAAGAGATGTCTGGAAGAATCTCTGTTCCCGGGGTAGGGAGTGTTAAAAAGAGAATTGATAATTATAAAATAAAACATTACGTGGTAATGTGTAATAATCAGGTAGCCGAAAATGTCACCTAGTATATGAGAGAGGGTGTTTGACTTTAATGTCCGGTCTAGAAGATGGTTGGGGAGGGGGGATATGACGTAGCATACATTTTATACTTCTAAAAAGAGTGATGGCCATGATTATGGTAATTAAAAAATTGATTTTGATGAATTTTCAGATATGTGAAGCGTTTCTTTAGGCATCTTTTCATGAGGGGGGGGGGGGGTGGATGAGAAGATGAAAATTGTTCATTTTTTTTACTTGTGGCCCATGAGGGTCAAAAGCCTGAAAGTCACACCTCTCAATCGGACTTGGTTTTGAGCGGCTCTCTTTGTTTGCGCCCATGTAAGCCCGGCAGCCCTTGCATCATCTTCTACTGTCCTTCTCCAGGATTTCATAGGCCGCCTTACTTTCCTCTCTCCCTGGGGATTCCACTCTTTACGCTTACTCGCGATATTTTCCTTCCCCCCCCCCCTTCTCAAGGCATGCCATATCCATCCCATTTGCGGTCTGTAATGTCCCTGTCTATGAGCTGTTGTTTAGTTTTTTAACACAGCTCTTAATTGGATATTTTATCTGGCAATCTTAGCTTGGGGATCTGTTGTAAACATCTGTTTGTCAATTATGATCTGTCGCAAAGAACTGTTAAAGTTATATAGAAAACACATACTTTAACCATTCCTCCCTCCCCTCGATATTATATTTCAACACCCCCCACCCACGGGCAGCGGAAATGTCCGAAATGACCGTGAGTATATAGGCTATAAATATTGTAGGGTGTCTGCCTTTTTTTTAGGTTCAGAAGCCACGAGCCGACCCGCGGCATATCATACGCCGCTATTTAGTTGATTTATTTTTCTACTTTTCAGTAATTCATAATTTGTGAATTCGACAGTACCAATGCTGCCACTGAAAATATTTTGCTTTAAAACACTAACCCCCCTCCTTTCCCCTAACCCCGACCCTACACTCCCCCCCCCCCCCCCCGTGAAATCAGCCTCCTCTTAGTTACATCCTGTAAGTTTAAAGTCGGTTCAAACTAAATTATCTGCCCCCAATAGCCGTCACTAAAACCTGGCTGTACGGTTTGTAAACATTAACGTGACCCACAGCTCAGCCTGACCATGTGGGGGTGGGGTAGGGTGGTAGTGATAGTGATAGAGAGAAAGAGAGGGGACTGGAAGGAGGCGCTTGCAGCTTGTTTTCTAATGCCTCGCAGAGGAGAATTATATATACGAGCCGACCCGCTGCGTATCATACGCCGCTATTTAGTTGTTTTTTTTTCTACTTTTCAGTAATTTTAATTTGTGAATTCGACAGTACCAATGCTGCCATTGAAAATATTTGCTTAAAAACACTAACCCCCCCCCCCCCCCCCCCCGTAAAAGCAGCCTCCTCTTAGTTACCTCCTCTAAGTTTAAAATCGTTTCAAACTTAATTATCTGCCCCTAATAGCCGTCACCAAACCTGTCTCTATGATTGTAAAATGTAAACAGAGTGAACACCGCTCACCAGATCATGTGGGGGTGGGGTGGGGGTGGTAGTGATAGTGATAGAGAGGAAGAGAGGGGACTGCAAAGGCGCGCTTGCAGCTTGTTTTCTAACTGATCCCAGAAGAGAATTATATATATAGATAGATAGATAGTGTCACCCCCTAAATGGTATCACCCCTGTGCGGGTCCGCACCCTTCCCCCCCCCCCCCCCCCCCACCTAGCCCTCGCTACGCCTCTGTTCAGAAGAAGACCTTTGTGAAAAAACTAAATTGTTTTTAAAAAATTATGAATTTGTAGCAGACTCCTTAATTA